CTGTTTTATAATTCTGATCATTGATTAATCATCGGAGGGTCCTCGACCAACACCCCACCGGTGTTATCCGAAGTGATGTAATCTCCATTGTTTTGCAGGTAAACGTCGTCGTTCTAAGTCGCGCTAATTTTCGCATCAACAACTGGCGCCATCTATGGGAAATGATTAGTTCACTGAAGAAATAGTAATTCTAACGCGATTCATCTCGAACGGCAAGACGAAGGTTTCCGATCATGGAAACCGTTCTGAAAGCATCCATCACGAAGTGTCATGACAACGGGTTCCCCGCTCTTATAGAAGGACGGGTCTCTACATCAATATTCCCCCATCTGTTATATTATATTGGAGGCAAAACGGTGATTTGCATGATGCCACCATGTATATGATGGCAGTACTCAAAAGTCTAGCACTCGATCTAGGTACCAGACCAACGTGTTTGGTGTCTCCCTCCTAACAGTGCTTAGTCCCCTTACTATTAAGGTATGTTTCTTACATCGAGCCCTACAAAGTCAAAACGAATTAGGTCTCCATGTCCATGTCAAGCAAATGGTCTTATACTGATATCTCCCACTAAGGTAGGGTAAGTCTTCCACAAAGGCCACTCACCAAGATCGGGAAAGGTCTTTCACCAAAGAGGCAAGTCTCCTACCAAGGTAGGCAAGATTCAACTAAGATAAAAAGGTCTCTATCAGCCAAGAAGGCCTCTACCAAAAACAAGGTATTCACTAACAAGTAGGTCCCTATCCACCAAGGAGACTGTTACTAACCAATAAGGTCTCTACCACCAAGGAGGTTTATACCAGCAGTAAAGGCTCACTACTCCGTTCATCTGTGCCATTAATGTGGTCTGTATGCCCAAGAATGTTTCTCACGATTCCCACGTCTAAGGAACTCTTTATTCCCAAGGAATTCTCTAAGTCCAGGGCGATTGCCATATCCAACGAGGTACTCATCTAAAGGTCATTGGGCCATTGTTCGTTTAGGTTGCCAAGTTGTGTACCTACAGAATGGTCCCCATTCAAGATCCCCCAAATTTATAATACTGAGGGCAGAGCAGTGAATCGCATGATATCAATCAGTCACAATGTTGATCTACATATAATGGCAAGGTTTAGAAGACTGACGCATCAACCTCGGTACATCAAGCCAACCTAGTTCCCGGTCTTTCTCTCCCAACCAATACCTGACCCCTTGGGCTATTGGTCGTCTAAGACTAATGCCCGATCATCAGAAATCATAGCGTAATAGGTCTCTACACACCAGGAAGGACTCTAAGTCCAATGAAATTTCTTCAATCAACGAGTTCACCACGTTCAATATGATCCTATGCTCAATGAGGTTTTTAACCATCGAGCACTAAGGATGGTCTCTTCTACCAAGAACCAAACCTCGTCTCATACACATCAAGTCTAGCGGGTCTCAGCCATATCAAGCCAGGAGAAGGTCCAAGCCTCTAGAAAGGGCTCACCCACATCAAGCCTTTGGCAAGGCCTCACCCACATTGAACCTTACAAAGTCAAGGTGAATTAGGTTTAGCTCCCAATGCTAGGTCAGTAGGAGCCCACTAAAATAAACCTAGACAAGTTTCTAACCCAGGCCAAACAGATAAGTCTCCCACCAAGGCCCAACAAGGTTTTTCACCTAGGCAAGGTATGGTGTTCTACTAAGGCAATGTGGGTTTTTCCTAATATTATATAGGTCTCTGCCACCACCGCTAAAGTACAGGGCGAGCATAAAGGATAAGCTCACGAAACTCAAAAATTTTACTCCCTTATTAAAGGGCAAGCTCATGTAGCTAAAAAAAAAAAAACCTTATTCCCTTATTAAAGGGCAAGCTCATTTAGCTAAAAAAAAAAAAAACCTTATTCCCTTATTAAAGGGCAAGCTCACGAAGCTCAGGCAAAACATCCCCTTATTAAAGGGCAAGCAGGGTGAAGCTCGTAAAAATTAAACCCCCTTATTAAAGGGGCGAGTTGGGTGAAACTCATAAGAATTAAACCCTTTATTAAAAGGATGAACCGGGTAAAACTCGTAAAAATTAAGCCGTTTATTAAAAGGGAAGCTGGGTGAAGCTCGTAAAACTTATTCCCCTTATCAAATAGGCGAGCTGGGTGAAGTTCGTAAAACTTATTCCCCTTATTAAAGAGACGAGCTGAGTAAAGCTCGTAAAACATATATATATATATATATATATATATATATATATATATATATATATTAGGGCAATGTGTATAAAACCCCCATTAACTATTGTCCATTTGTAACTAACCCCCCTGAATTAAGAATTGCCCCCCTAAATTATTAATTTGTTACAAGTAAGGACACTCCGGCTAGTTGTAGGTAACGGAAATGTTGAAAGACTATTTTACCCATGCAAAAAAGGCCACTGTTTCATTCCACAACCATTTAAGTTAATGAGATTAAACAACCAAATCAGCCAATCATATATTGTTTCTATATATCTATATCTATATATAGAGTGAAATATAACGATGGACCTAGAAACAACGCCTCTTCTCTTCTCCATAGTTCAATCGTTCTCCTATCCAGGGAATCTAGCAAATCCGATAACGACGAAGCAGTAACGACAACGGATATTATCGACGACAGCAAAGATTTGGTGGCAGTAAGTAACAGTCCGACGGTGACAATGGTGAAAGGCTCAACCAACAACGATGAAGGCCTGGTAATTGGTGATGACGATGGCTATGAGAATGCTTTGTTGCTGTTTCGAGACCCACCGACGTGGTTGTTGTTACGACTGGGTTTACTAGTGATTGGGTTTGGCAATTGATGGAGAATTTTGCGATTAGATTTGCGGTGACAAAATATTATAGGGGGTTTTGCGTGTGGGTTTGCTTGTGATTATGTCTTGCAAATACGTTATTGTGATTGGGTGGTGGCGATGTATTAAGAATTTTGCGATTGGGTTACTTCTGATTGGGGTGAGAATTTTGCAATTGGGTTTCCTTGTGATTGGGGTTGAGAATCAATTCTATAAAATCAAATTTCTCTCTTCTTGATAACCATTGCCATGAATATAGATGATGTGGACCAGAGTTAAATATATAGAGAGAGACAGCGGGGGAGAGAAGGGAATTCAGTTAAGAAGATTTTTTATTTATGCATCTACACATGCGTGTGAAGAAGATGAACATAATATATATTTTAACTCTGTATATATATTGTGTGTGTATATATTTAGACAGAAAGGTGTTATTGTCATTAAATAAAAATTAACCCATCACATGACAGGCATGTGACTAACTTTTCATCCGCATATTGCCGGAATGGGTATTGTACAATGAAATGAGATAGTTTAGGGGGTTTTCTGTACTAAATGTAGTTTAGGGGGGTTTGTTGGGAGAGAGAGTATAGTTGAGGAGGGTTTTATGCACTTTACCCTATATATTATTTTGATTCCCCAAAGGAATCCAACTATATCGTACATCGGTGTTGTTGAGTGTGTGATTTGAACCTACACCATTTAAAAACTAGAAATTCACCCGGTGTACGGTTGTTCAACTCGGGAATAATAGCCGAAGTAGAACTATTCACCTTGGAAATATTGCCGGTAAAAAACAAAAATTGTTGTTCACCTTGAGAATAGTACCTGAGGTAGAACTAATCACCACACACGTATTATTCCAAAGAGAATAAAGCGATCATGTTACCTCTGGAAGAATTTATTGAGTTTGGGATTTGAACCACGACCATACCTTTGAATTCTACCCAAGTACGAAAAAACTATGCTGATTCACTTTGGATCTCTAAAGAAAATCAAGCGATCAGGTGGTGGGATTTGAACCCACTGGGTACGTTGCCTTGCGATTCCCAAAAAGAATCAAGCGATTAGGATTTGAATGCTCGCCCTCAGATCTAGTGTCTGGAACGTTGTTCCAAAAAGAATCAAGCGGTCACGTGGTGGGATTTGAACCCACGCCTTTGAGATATCTACCCAACGAAAAAAAATAAAAAATTTCTACCTCAGGTTAAAAATAAAAAACTTTTACTCGAGTCATATCGAGAATAGTATCCCGGGGTAAAAATATATAAAATAAATAAATAAATAAAATTTCTTTGATATTTCCTAGTTGGTTCCGAACAAGGAAATAAGGGGTGATGGGAAAAAAAATAACCCTAAGTTGACTAGCTGCCTTGACCATTTGGTTATCTTCAGTTAACGGTGATAGAGGAGATTAGTTGAGGAAGATAAATCAAATCTCAACCATCGACATCCGCTCAACGGATTGGATTCCATCGACATCTTCTCAACGACTGGATTTCGAAAACAACAATAAATAAGGCATGGAGCCAGGAAAGAAGGTACGAGAAAAAAAAAACTCTTGAACATTAATACATAATTAATTTTTCGAGAAAATACCAATTCAAATTTAATGGATTCAAAAAGATATTACTGCAGGGATCGGGATTATAAATTTTCCCATTTTCATCCATTAAATAATATTTAAGTACTTGAAAAGCCTGTTTTAAATTGTCAAGTTGCAAATAGTTAGTTACCAAGAGTTGATTATGAGTTATTAAATCGATTACTGACTTGATCATCGGAGGGTCCTAGGTCGGTACCCCACGGATGCTATCCGAAGTGACGTAAATTTCATTATTTTGCAAGTAAACGTTGCCGTTTTGGGTCGCGCTGATTTTTGCATCAACAATGTGCAAAATTTTCCTCCTACATTAACATTTTTAAATGAGACGTGAACTTTTTAAATGACACATGAATCATTAAACATCTAAGAATTACGATAAAAGTAATAATTTTGATATATTTAAATGACATATGGGACATCTAAGAATTACAAATATATATATATTATAATAATAATAATAATTTTGGTATGGTGTAGTTAATCTAAGTAAGATACATGCACTGAGAAAAAATAGCAATGAGAGTATCGAGTGTATTGAGCGTATTCGAGTTTAAAGAGCTGTAATTACGAAAGTAACCTTGCAGAACAATTCGCACCAAATCAACTATCATCGTCGCTCCTCATCTCTCCATTTGCAGCTCTTCTCGAAGCACCTAAACACTTTGTGGAAAAGAGGAGATGGCGCTGCGCCTGAGCCCTCTTCTTCGTCACCATTTCGCTCCCAGTCTCCGTTCCATGAAGCTCAGTCCATTCCGCAACTTCTCCATTCACAACCATATCTCTGACCCAAAGGACTCCCATAAGGTACCCATTTCTCTCTCTCTCTTCTTTCTATATGCATCTGGGTTTTCTTTAATCTAAACCAGGACCCTTTGATTTGTGCTGTTTAACTTCACTCTAATTTTGGTACCCATTTGTCTCTCCTCTTTTTCTTTCTATCTTTTGTGTTTGTGTGTTTTAGTATGAATTAATGACAATGATGTTTCTATATCCATCTAGGTTTTCTTTAATCTAAACCAGGATCCTTTGATTTGTGTTGTTTAACTTCACACTATTTTTTTTGGCCCTATTTAGATTGCTGGCAAAATTGAAGCAATTTGAAATCTGGGTTCTTTGTGTTTTATTTTTTATTTTTTAGTTTTTTCTTTGATTTTCTTTCAATTTCTCCATCATTCAAGTGAATGATTATGACTTTGGAGCTATTTAGTTTGCATAAGTGCAGGTCTTATAAGTTATACAGTACGTGTTTACGCTATTGTGTGTTTACGCTATTGTGGTGTTATTTCAGTTCCATTGCAATTTTACTTGAGTTTTATTAGTATAAAGGCAATACAATGGTCTCTTTGTGCTCACAATGCTAAAGGTTAGGTCGTTTGCCCACCCCAGCACCGTCCTTAACTAGTACCACGTTGGGTGATGGTAGAAGTGCTAGAATCAGCCCCATTCTTCATTTGAATTTCCAATTTAAGCTCTATATGGAATGAAAAGGAGTTGTGAACGAACCCCGTGTATAATTGACTATGTGGGTATGCCTGTGTATATTGGGGATTTTGTAAAAATTAAGGCTCTTTTGATCTGGTGAAACCTTAAATCTTGTGGATGGCTTGGCAAAACTTTCGCTAATATAGCATTTTCAGCACAAGAAGTGTAGTATGGTGTCGCACATGACAATCAGGTGGTTGTTCACATTTCCTTTATTCAGCAAGGTTGCATTGAATTCTATTAATAATGCATTTGTGATCATCAGAGCTTTGGTGGAACTTTACAGTCTATGCTGTTCTTAAACTTGCAGCTAGTCATGGAAGTAAAAGAGAAGCTTGGAAAAGATCATTATAGTCTTCCTGTGGGCAAAAATGGAAGAGATGATGAAGACATGATCCTTTGGTTTTTGAAGGACCGAAAGTATTCTGTTGAAGATGCTGTATTAAAATTGACTAAAGCTATTGTATCCTTGCCCTTCAGATTCATGCTTTTAGATGTTAATTTTTCAAAAAGGTTCTTTGCATAATCATGACCTGAATGTTCTAATTTGACTATCATTTGGTAATTTGTCTACAGAAAAGTTCAAGCTTCTTGCTAGGTGAATTTGAATAAACTGAACTCATACCCAAGGAACCTCAATCCTCTGGAGGGGGAAAATACTTTGCTTCATTTAATGTGTTATTGGATTCTCTAGATTTCTTTTTTATTTTGTTTTTAATAACTTATTTTTGAAACCGTTAAGAACTAGCTTCAGCTGCACCAGTTGTTGCCTAAGAAAGATGAAAGGATCTTTAAAATATTATGGCTCCTGTTGTTAACATTTGATTGTATATATTGTTGTCAAGAATGAAAAAGTTGGTAGTTTTGGTGAATATTATTTCAGTTTTCCTTCTACCTTATCAGAAATGGCGTGAAGAATTTGGTGTGTCAAAGTTATCAGAAGAGACAGTGAGAAGTGTAGCTGAAACAGGAAAAGCTTACGTGCATGACTTTCTTGATAATTATGACAGACCAGTGCTAATAGTGGTGGCATCCAAGCATTTTCCTGAAGTAAGTCTAAAACTTAAATTATCACACTCTTATTTACTTATTCTGTCAGTCTTCTCTCTTTAGCGTAAGAAGCTACTGTCTACATTAAGTTTTGTTTCTCAAAAACATTAAAATTAGAGGGGTTTCTATTTGAAAATAATTCATCCTAGCATGGATTCTTCCTGAATGGCATGCCTATGGATCATCATCATTAAAAGAAAATGCAAGGGTATGGTTGTGCATGACTTCGTGGTTCGGTCAAAAAATTTCTGATTAAATTCAGTGAACACAACTTGCCCCATTTCTTGAAAAAAAATATATATATATGTTCTCGCACTGGTCATGGTACCGGTTTAAGTATTCATCAAGTAACCTGAGATATTATATTCTATTAATTTGAAGTTTCACTTCTATTCACCATGTTTATGTTGGAGAAGTAGCAATATTTACTTTTAACCCTTTTGAGACTTTTACTATCCTCTTTCTGATGGTTTTGTAAAAATGAATTGGCAACAGGTGCAGGATTCTTTTGAGAATGAGAAGCTCTGTGTGTTTTTGATTGAGAAGGCATTGAGTAGAATCCCTGCTGGGAAAGAAGAAATTCTTGGAATATTTGATCTCCGGGGCTTTGGTATTGAGAATGCGGATCTTAAGTTCTTGACATTTTTGGTAATTTCTATTGATTATCTGCTGAGCATGTTTTGGACTTTATATATATATATATATATAATTAATATTGCATCCAAACTGAGTTCAGAACTAATTCCTCACAATATTGGGGCAACAAACTGATGAATATTTCAGTTAACCAAGAGAATTTGATGATATTTATGTCTTTAAATGTGAGTAATTTTAATTTATTATTGTTTTTGTTGTTTTTGTTGTTGTGATGATGGATGTTGGTTATTAACTTTTCTTGTGGTCATGCCATTATCCGCTGCTGCTGTTACCAAAAACATCACTGACATCATTAGTTTCAGATTCATTATTTACTTCTTCGCTCCTTTAACCTGATAAGTGTATTATCGCAAAATACTTTTGTATGTCATGAGTTTATTATTTCTTGTCGATCAATTGGCGCTGTTCAAATGCTGCTGATTTTAGTGGCAAATATTAGATGCTATCAATTTAGACGGTCCAAAACAAAGGAAATGCAACTTGAAACTTTTGGTTTTGTCGTTCGTTAATGTCACATTTGTTTGATTCATTATTGTCAATATTTCATGGAAATTAAAGACTAGTGCTATGGACCTTATGTGTTTATTTTGTTTGTTTGTTAAATAAACTCTTGGCAGTTTGATGTATTCTACTACTACTATCCAAAGCGATTGGGCCAAGTACTCTTTGTGGACTCTCCCTTTGTGTTCAAGCCAATATGGAAACTAGCCAAGCCCTTGTTGAAGTCATATGCTTCTCTGGTAAGCACTGCCCATGGGGCTCATTAATTCTTTGTTTTTTTTAGGACATTTAATGTTTTTTGTGATGCCACTCTTGTACAACTAGGTTGAAAACTACTTCCATGCTACATAGTTTATAATTTCATAACCAACTCATCTTCATTGTTTGAAACTTTGAAAATCATACAACCGTAGATTCATCCGAAGGTATAGCTGTTTATTTTTGTATTCACAGTCATTTACTCCTTCAATGTAAGCCTGTAGCAAGTGGATTTTTAATTACTGTAGGCTTGCATCTTGGATCCGCATTAAACCCATATCTTTTTTGCTTAGTTATGGACAAACTGACAAGACACATTTGGGAGACTCTATGATGTCCGTTATTTGTTGATAATATTGTTTTAATCGATGAAATTAGACTAGAGCAAGTGCTAAATTGGAGGTTTAGAGGAAAAATCTAGAAGAAAAAGGGTTTAAGATAAGCAGGAATAAAACTAAATACATGGAATGTAACTTAGTAAATGTAGAAATACAAATAGGATGCAGTGAAAATTGAGGGTCGAGAAGTACAAAAAAGTGAATATTTTCATTATTTAGGCTCAATCATTTAAAATTAAGGAGAAATTGAAGATGATGTTTATCGTAGAGTAAAGGTAGGATGTGTTAACTGAAGGGGGTAGATCTAGTATATTGTGTAATTGCTGTATCCCACTAAGATTTAATGGAAAGTTCTATAAAACAGCTAATGGACTAGTTGTTCTTTATAGAACATGAAAAGGCAGTAAAGAAACAACATATGCAAAAAGTGAATGGTATATAATGTGTTCAAGGCATGGACAAACAACACATTCATATAACTCCTGAACTTCAAAAAGTTATTAAAGTTCAACATTGAAATGAGAATACTGAGACAGATGACAGGATTGATTAAAAGAGACAGGATTAAGAATTGCTATGTTAGCATTGTTAGGGAGAAATCAGGTGTGACACTTATCAGTGTGATAAAATGAGAGAGAGTAGTCTGAGATGGTATTGGCATATGCAATGCAGACCGGTAAATGCACAAGTGAAGGAAGGCTAATTCGAAAAGAAGGTAAAAGGCAAGAGGTAGATCAAAGATAGCGCGGATGACATAATAAGAAATTAAATATAATGAAAGACACAGCTTGTAATAGTGTAGAATTCATGTGGCCAACCTTACTCAATTGGGATCAAGAGAAGGATGGTGATGATCAGTGATGTCCTGTGCTGTAGTTATTCTGCCCTTCTGTCCTTTTCTTGTGCTTTCATTTCATTTTCATTCATTTATTCGTATTTGAAGGTGAAATTTTGCTCGGTGGAGACTGTCAGGAAGGAGTATTTTACAGAAGCAACACTTCCAGCCTGCTTCAGAGACTGAAGTTGCCATCATTCCTCTTGAATGTGTCGTACCAAGGTATGGCAATAAATATTATAAATATACTGAAATGGCTAATAAGAATAGAAAATAAATATCTTTAAGTTAATAAATTGTTCTCGGTGGGTGAAAAATGATTATAAGTGCGTGATATCGTACTCACCCCAGGGCATCAAGCAATTCTTTCCTATGAATTCAAAAAGAAGGAGAAATAATAAATGCTAGTTCACAGTCTTATGCTCACTGCATGGACTTATATGATTAATGTTTCCCTATGGATAAAGCACATCATTGTTCATCAAATCAGAAAGCATTGAAACTTGATTGTGTGGGCATTACCCAGTGGCCTAGTTGGTAGAGTACTCAGCTCCCCGAGTGGGTGTGCCCGTATTCGAGTCCCCCCTCCCCCTAATTTGCCAGAAATATAGATATATATATATATATAATTGAAAGTATAACTGATGGGCAAATGATGCACTCATTATGTATCTTTTATCGTATGGGTATTAAAATGAGAATCATATATCCCTAATTTTAAGTTCAACATATGCAGGAATTTTAGCATCGCGGAGTTGGTGATTGAAATTGGCATTGTAGTGTAGAACTTGTTGATGGCTGACTGGGTTAAGACTCTTCGACGGATTCAACTTGCCGTAGCGTAACCTCTAGGGAGGGATACGTCCAATTTTGTGGCTAAACTGACTTCCTTTTTTATTCTGGTGATCATTGATGTTGTATAATATGAAGATTGGTCCGTGCATTCCCCAACTACGGAAAATGTGCACAAGTGTATATTTCTCACCTTTTCAATTATTTAATGGAGGGAAGAATAAATGTAAACTCTTGGAATGTCTCAATGTAAGAAGAATAAAATATAATGAGTCCATTAAAGTTTATTTGGTTGTTTTATTGTTAAAATAATTGTTTTTTAGTTTATATATATATATATATATATATATATATATTAATATTTTTTCTTTGTTGAACAAAAACTCACACATTCACCTAGTCTCTGCAGAAATTGAATCTTCAACATACTATTAGATTACAGTTGTTGATGGTGTTAGAATAATCATTTTAAAAGGTAATTGTTTGTATTTTTTATTATTGGATATTCAAAATTCAATATTCCGATTTCATGCATTGACTATGAGCTAACCCTTCAATCTATCCAAACCAACCAATTTAAAGGATCTGTGATTAAAAATTGGGTCACTAACTTGAAATTTTTTATTTTTGTGCAGTATTAAGTTGTGAAATTTCGGAAGTTAGATTCTCATGTTGACCAAAAATACAATGCTATCTTACACCAATCCAACTTGTGAACGAAAAGGGTAAAAAAAAATGTCACAATAAAATTCATATTTAAGAGAAAAACTTTTCTGCGGATATCATGTAATTATGATATTGTCAATTAATTAAAATATGTTATATATATATATATATATATATATATATATATTTGTATTGTGTTCAACCCATTTAATCACATGTATTTTAAATGCCATGTAAGGCATGCCTTGAGCTAAGTCACATAAAACGGAAGCGAGAGCAAATTTGAGAGCGAGAGTGATATAATTATGTCATAAGTAGTTAAAATTTGCATGAGAGTATGAGCGTGTTTAGAGGAGCGATACCTGCTGAGAGAATTATGTGACTTGAGGCGTGACATGTGTAATTGTCTAGATAAGTAGATTATGGGATGTTTCAAATGCCTTGATTTAAGTCGCACAATATAAGTGCAAGGGTCCGAATATGCAACTTAATTATTATTGAATTATTATATTTACTTATTTTAATTAGTCATTTACTTATATTGTGTATATATAATTCGATTAGTAGGCCGCAACAAATCGGCACAATTGTCCCTGCTCTGAGAAGAATTTATGAATTTATACGACTTAAAGGTTGTATTAAAAATGACAAGTTCATGTTCTTACCCTTCTTATTTTATTGAGATACCGTGGAGGCTTATTTGTTTCGATGGAAACGAGTGAAAAAGAAAGGGATGATTTTTGAGTGACAGTGATATTTTTATGCTCGTTCCAGCCTTATATTGGGGGGGAAAGAATTTCATCTAGAGAGAGAAAGAGAGAGAGAGGAGAGGAGAAGAGAGAGATGGAGAAGCGCAGGTGCTTATTGATGATGGTGAATTTCCTTTGTCTTGTGGGTCTGTGTGGTGCGATCGAGTCACCACAGTACACAGTGGTTCACTGTGAATCGGATTTCGAGATCAGACTCTACAGAGAATCGGCTTGGATGTCCGCTCCAGTCAAAGAAATCTCCTTCGAGAAGGCCACCAGAGATGGTTTTCACAGGTACTCGCTCGCTCTCATCACTTGTGCCAGTGCACTGTTCGCTTTAATATTCTCATGCTTGTTTGGCTCCCGAGAAAATTTGGAGAAGAAAATTAAATAAAACCCTCACTTGTATGCTTTTATGTCCATTTAGTTTTCGATACTGAAAAGTTTATTCTAAAGTGAAACTTAGTAATATAGAAATAGTGTATATAACCCTCCTAATAGTTTGGAGTTCGATACTGAATTGAGATTATATAGAATTGTTCATATTACATTCCAAATATGATGAAATTTGATGAATTGAAACGGTATTTTTATTTTTTATTTTTAAAGTTGTAATTATCTTGAATATAATAGCCATTTCTTTATTTTCCAATCATCTAGAAGGGACAAAAGAGAGATCTTGTCATGGGAAGTATCTAATGAATTATGCATTCAATACATCCAATTTAGCAAAAAGTTGGATATTCCTTGTTCATTATCAGACTATCAATTGTTTGCAAACATCTTGTCGGCCTAATAGATTTCATTTTTCATCTTGCCACTCGAATTTTCTATATTCCTTTTTATTTCTCATGAAATGAATGATATCTTTATCTGTAGCATGATATTAAGGAATCTCATTTCTATTACTCAAACAAGCATTAAATCGCATTCTTGCATATATGTCGATAGGTCAAATTGAATATGTAATTATCGGAATATCTGTTGTAGTTTTAAGTGAGGCATATGCAATCTTTTGTGCAAATAAAAACTTCATCTGTTGAAAAAAACTATTGTAACTTGCACCTTTTTGCGTAGAAAAAAAAAAACATAATATAATTGTTGTGCATATACCCTTCTATGTCCATCATTACCAAGTTTAAGAAAAACCCTTCTAATATAAACCCCTTGCAATATTGATATTGTGCATGTCCCTTGTAATATAGATATTGTGCATTTAAATCCTTCGTATGGTGAGAGGGTATATTTGTAACTCAATAGTCACATGTCCTTCTTGGCACATTTTTAATATTATACGGGTTTGTCATAATATCAGGGGGTTATACGCACGGTATCCATATTACAAGAAGGTTTTTTTTTATCTTTGCCATTTGTGTGTGTATGTGTGAGTTAATTGAGAATATCTTAGTTACCTTGTTGATACGGAGTGTCTTCTGGTATTGTTTGTTCAAATTTTTTGGTGTTGTATCAACATTTACAAATTTTTTGGTGTTGTATCAACATTTATCTGAAGAATTGTATTAAGTACCATGATTGTATTGATTGGATGGAATGCTTTTTTAATTTGAATTTGCCTAGTGATCTTTACTTGCGAAGACTTTTTATTTGTGACTATATGTGTATTGTTATATCTGGTTTATCTTTCTAGAATATATATATATATTTTTTCCCTCTGAAATCTTTAGGATGGAGGGAGAAGTTTTCAACATTTTGAGTGCTCCTTTCATGGTGTTGTTTGAACTGTTTGTTTGGAACAATTCAGTAAAAGAAACAAACTTTAATGGCTAGATGAAAATTATTACTGATGACCATATAAATAAGTTTGGAGTGTAGCTCACGAATGAATGTCTAACACACCACTACCTTTTTTCTTTTTCTTTTTAAATAAAAAAAGAAACTATTGGGCAACTTATATTAGTAGAGGAAATAAATTCAAATATTATTATAATAAAGTAGGGCTTTGAAATTTAATTTTGTTAATGACACCAGACTCGGAATGGGAACAAGTGATGCCAATACTCCTAAGACCATGCAATGAGGGGAGATTACTATTTAGGCATACGACTTTGGTTCATAAGGATGGGGTTCTTTTCAATGTGTTATGTCAATATGACTTATTTTGGCATACTTCTAGATCAAAACTAGAGTCTGTAACTTTTGTTTGAGTTTCTAGCTTAGGTTAGAAGTTTTTCAAAAGTTAATGTTTATTTGAGTTTCTAGCTTGGTTAGAAGTTTTTCAAAAGTTAATGTTTGTTACCTCCCAAGGTCGACGATGGAATTCATGCTACATTGAAGGGTAATCCGGTAATCTTTGTTTGGAAGGGTATAAAGGTAAATTGACACATTGTTGCACTAACTAAATTAGGATTTATGCATGCATATATAGGGTTTTCAAATTTTCATGTGTCAATCCTATTTTGATTCTCTAAATTGTTTTTAATCTTGCATGAAACAAGTTTCGGAAAACATTCTAGTAATCGATGAGTGTAGTTTATATGTGTTGACATCTATTGTTCCGTACTACAAAGACAAGTTCAACACAATCTTTCAATCCACCATTGATTGAAGCCTGGACTACTAGTGGCTGAAATAAAAAATAAATAAAAAATAAAAATAAAAATAAAAAACACTAGTGAAGTATATTTGTGAGGAATGGATGAAGGGCTGCATGGAGACTTTTGGGAGAAAGTTTGGAGTCTTCTGTGTCGGGAGGTAACGAGGAGATTCTTGGGATAGAATCCGTTAACCTTAGTTGTAATCTCTCCCTCCTATAGTGGATTTGGTTTGCCTGGACTAGATCCCTTGGTTTTTCCCTGCTTAGGATTTTTCTTGTAGAAGTATTGTGTTCATTGCTTTATGCTTTTAATTGCTTATTATTGTTGTGGATTGTTTATATTTTTATTATCTGTTATATTCAGTGTTTGAATTTCTGTTAAAACAATTTTAAATTCAAAACTTCGTTTAAACTTGTTAATCAGTGAACCTTGCGCAACTCTCTATCAGAGTCTCAGGTTCCGGTCCTTACTCCCATCACAATAGTTCATAACTCGTATGGATGGAGTTGCCGACAGAATGCTGCCCGTGAAATCAGGGTAGATTGTCAAGGTCTATATAAGCCTTTTTAGGTGTTGCATAGCAAATGAAATTCGAGTATAAACTATAAACACAAATCATGCGTAGAGCACATTATTGAGGAAACAATTGTAGATTTGCTTGTGAGATAAATTAAATGACAGTGAATATTGTAAAATTGATAAGACTGAAAGTGACTTGCCTTAGAGAAGAAAGAAAAAAGGTTTGAGATGAAAACATTTGCGAAAACAAGGCAATTGAGATGGTCTAAGACTCTAAATATATCAGATTAAATTTTTTTTTTTTTAAAAAAGGCTTTCAATAATTGGAATTCCTGAGTGGCACTTGTTTTTAGAAGAGTGACAAGATTCTGATCTGGAGTGATTTGCATGGGACCAATTGATCATTTATTGGCAACTGTGTTTTATCCCATTGAAGAATTCATGTTTAGTAGTGAGTAATGATCTTAATTCTATTCTTGAATAAGGTAATCATTTAAAGAACTCAGGATACAGTGGAGGCTAGAAATTCTTGTTCACTTGATAGATTCAAGTTCTAAATTTTTTATTCTTTTTTTTTTTTTTTGCCTTCTCTTTATCAAAGAGGCATTGTGCTTCTGAATTCACCAAAAGCAATCTACTTTAGATTTTCCTGTTGTCTGTCTCGCAGGTTATTCCAATACTTCCAAGGTGCAAATTTGAACTGGTCTCGGATTCCAATGACTGCGCCTGTCTTAACAAGCATTGTCCCAGGAGCTGGGCCCCTTCACTCATCAGCCTACTTTGTCCGATTTTACCTGCCTGTCAAGTTCCAAGCCACCCCACCACTTCCCCTCCCTCAACTGAACCTTGAGGCCTATTCATGGGTCAGTCACTGCATTGCAGTTAGAAAATTCTCAGGATTTGCGAGGGATGACAACATAGTAGAAGAGGCAGAAAAACTGGCCGTCAGCTTGAGCAGGACTCCATGGGCAAACTCTACCTCTTCCGAAAGTGAATATGCTTATTCAATTGCACAGTACAATTCTCCATTCCGGTTCATTGGGCGTGTCAACGAAATCTGGGTTGATGTGAGTGAAGAATCTGGACTTGACAGCTGCAAATCCAGTGAAATAGCTACATACTGAACTTCCGCCGATGGATTGGATAAAATCATGTAAATTTTTCCTTAATGGTTCATTACTGTTATCTTTTGTTTTGCTTATCTGTATGTAAATATTATGAATTCCCAATAGAACATATTGTCCTTTTTTTGTTTCAGTTTAAAGGACCATAGTGTGCTTGATGAATGGATTGGATTTCATGGTACTGTGAAAACCTTAAGCAATTAAAATTTTACTATAAACAATTTTTTTTTGCGTCACGTGGACTTCACATGAAAAAATGAGAGTGGTGATTTAGGGATCGAATTCAGAAGTTGCCGAATTCAATTTATATGTGAATCCGGTAGTTGAATTTGATCCTTAAATCATTATGTAAAAACCAAAATTGAATGGGGGATGGATATTGACAATCATACTTAAATTTGCAAATTAAGAGACTTGATTGCAGAATGGTAAAATTTGTTGGGTATGTTTTATATAGTTTCTTGAACCACAAATTCAATAATAAGTATTAATTATAATAGATCACATAATTCAACAAGAATAAAATAGAATAATTATGTAACAAATACTAAATCTAAAATTTTCAAAAAAAATATAATAAAAATTAGATCTTTTTCTCCGCTACTTGGGGTCGGCTACATAAATTTTTTTTACTTTTTATCTAATGTCATAACTTCGCTCAAACGGTTTAAAATTATATATTGAAAGTGATAGAAGAAGAAAAGAAAATAAAAGAAAAGATTTTGCAAAGAGAAAGAGGTTGAGAAAAATAAAGAGACGTTGAATAAAGGTATGTGGAATACTTTTGATAGGTAAAAAAATGTTAAATAAAATTACTTCCATGAACTTGGCAATTCTTGTGGGTTAAAAGAATCGGAGTTCAAATCCCCGCAGTGGAATAAGTATTATTGTTTCCATATTAGGGATGGCAATTCATGTTTGCGGATCGTAATCGTATCGTGTCAACTTAAGGATATTATACTAAATAGTTTCTAGTTTACAAAAAATTAAATTATAAGGCACAAGTTTATATAATAATTTTAGAATTTAAATAGAAATTTATTTATGATACAGTTAAACATGTATAAACGGGTTATACGGGTTGAACTACTCAACCCAAATACGACACGATTAATTAAATGGGAGAATCGTGTTCACCGCTTATAACCGAACCTGTTTAAAATTAACCAAACTCGTTTAACTCATGTCGTATTCGAGTCGTGTTAGTAGGTCATGTTAACTTTTGCTGCCCCTTACTTTACAAAGGAAATGAAAAGCGAATGGAAATGTGAAAAGTACAAATGGGTTAAATAAATTAATTTCATACCATTGCCAATAAAATCCACTGTAGCACTTTGGTAATTCTTGCTGGATTAAAAGAATCCAGGTTCAAATCCTGGCAGTGGAATAATCCTTTTTTTTTTTTGGAAATTTTTATTTAAAATCCACTATATTTAATGTTTTTTTTCAACAACATCAACCAATATAGTTTTATTAAAGGTTTAACACCTTTTTCTGGGTTCTTAAATTTGCAAATTAAGAGAACTTGATTGCGGGTAAAATTTTGTTTGTGTGATTATTTTTAAACTTTCTTTCTTTTTAGAATTCTTCCGGTTTAATAATTTTATTGGATTTACATTTTGTTTGTTAGTTTCTTGTTTTCTATTAATAACAAAAAACAATTACTCAATTTGCACTTACAAATTTATCTCTTATTCGGTACAAGCTACAAAATCTTTCTACAAATTTCTATCTTACGTGTTTTAGGAAATCTCCTATAAAGAATTTTTTTTCTGACAAATTAAGAAGAGGGGAGATTCGAACATATGCATTCGCTTGTGAAGTTGAACTCCCTATCAACTAAGCTAGGGTCCTAAGAATATCTCTTAAGTCTCTCAATTTAGGCTCCGTTTGTTTAAATGTAAAACATTTTTCTCAAAAAAAAAAGATTATTTATTTATTTATTTATGTAATATATATATATATATATATATATATATCGTATTTGGAAAATTAGCCTAGTCGAGGGTGAGGACGAGTCTATCGAATGGGGCGTATAAAATAACTTGTCGAAATTTGATGAGTAAATTATTTTTGTTAGATTTTAATTTTTTTTTTCTTTGTAAATATTTTATGATAATCAAATACCAAAAAATAAAAAAATAATTTTAAAAAAATATTTTACATCCAAATAAACCAGACGGCAATCTCAATAAGCTTAGAATATAACACTGTAGGTAAAAAAAAAACACCTCATCACTAGTAATTGTTTTTCAAGTTAGGTAGAATAATTGAGCCCTCCTAACAGCCTGCATGTGAAAGGTCCTCTAAAGGTTATGAGTCTGTGACTTACGAGAGAGTTGTTTAATTTCCAAAATATTACACCATACAATCCCTAACCACTCTTCGATCTTATCCAATAAATCAATCTACAATAATAGGGCCAAGCAAATTAGCTCGACTAAAATTAAAATGACTATGAATTGCAACACATGTTATGACACGAAAATTATCATTAGAGACACTAATGCTTGTTTGGTGAGAAATATTGAAATATGGGTGGTATGAAAGATATTAAAAAAAAAAAAAAAAAAAAAAAATGAAATGAAAAAGATTAGTAGGATATTTTTAAAGAAGAGAATGTGTCATTCTTCTTTTGTTTGCTTGAGGGAAAGAAGCAGACTCGGAAGGTAATAACTTTCATTGCTTGGTAAGAGAGAAGGAATGCGATTTTTTTTTTTACTAACTTCCATTAAATAATTTTACAAAAATATATGAGGGATAACATCTATTTTCCTTCCGATTAACTATATCCAAGGTACTTGAACCATTTATTCACCACATATTATTGGGTTAGAGACTCTTTAGTTATTTTTAAATTATAAATCTTTAATGGTATCTCATCTATCTTCCAAAGTGAATGGTGATGGTTTGAGTCTCTAAATGAGCAAAATGAGTGTGAGTGATGTGTGTAAGTTTCTTGCCAATAAAAAAAAAAAATCAATTTAAATAAAAAAATTTATTTTATAAGAAAAAAGAATGAAACACACTATTGTGAATTCTTTCATTATTTTTCTTAAATTCGGGAAAAAACTTTAATGCATCGGAAAGAGCAATGCTACACATCTCGAATTTTAATTTGAGATTGTATCTTGAATCTGACATGACGGTAACTAAAAAGACATAAATGTCTTTACGTTTCCTATTTTAACAAACAATTAAACTAGTTTCTTTCTCTATCTATAATTTGTTTTTCTCTACTAATATTTTTCATTATATATTATTATTATTATTATTATTTTCACTCCCTCATCTACTTCTATTTATCTTTATTTATCAAAGAAAAAAAAAACTTATGCATATATCTCTATTGAGTGTCTTTAAAATTTAAAGGTAATTAGAAAATACTAAATCAAAATATAATTTAAAAAAATTTAAGTGAATTATGTAAGATAGAGTCCTTATTTATGAGAAAGATATCACTTATTCATAGTAAAAAATTGTAACTTTTAGTTTAATTAGTTGAAAATTTAATAAAAGGGTCTCTCAAACAAAGATATATGTAAGTAGAATTGAATTGAATTCAAATTATTGAGTTTATTTTAAGATTTGAATTTTATAATGATTAGTTTTGTTATTTTTTCTCACTTTTCTATGGTAAGATCTTTCCAATATTTTTTAAAAGAATTGCTTTAAAATACACAAAGCAACCAAATAAGTTGATAAATAAGTAGCCACCTGAAATAACAACAAAATAAAAAATTGTGTTTTTATTCATATAATAAGATATACTACTAATTGGTTGTACTATCTTTTCTCACTAAATAAATTCCGTGGCAAACTTCTCAGTTCTCAACTTCTCACTTCTCATCCTTTCCCCTCTTTGAACCAAACATGAGATGAGGATGGAAAGACTTTTTGATTTCCTTTCCTTTCCTTTCAACCCTCGATGTCAAAAATAAGGTTTAAGACGGAACTGGACTTCGGGGTTGGGTTCGAACAACATTAGCTTCGGTGCCCTCTCTCTCTCTCTCTCTCTCTCCCCTCTCTCCCTCTCCTCTCTCCTCTCGATCGCCTCTCATCACCGTCTTCATACAGGGAAAGAAACGCAAAGGAAACACACTCTCTCACACGTATATAAACCACCGTCACCGGCATCATCATATCGTCTCTCTATTGCTTCTATTCTTATTTGCAGAGGAACACAGATCGGTGTCTCCTATATCATCTACACTGATTCGGCTCCTCGTTTTTCTCTGTCTCTCCTCCAGTAAGCATCATCTATCTCTATGTGTATGTACATATGCATGGTTACACACATATATTTTACATTGAATTTTTTTTTAATAAGCATATTATATTGAATGTTTTTTTTTTCTTTTTTCCCCCTTAAAACTAGAAAAATTACGGTTTGGGGTTCTCCTCAACGAAAGCTGGGTCGACCCCGTTGATCAGAAAATCAGTATTTAGGGTTTGGAATGCAATATATGCCCTTATTTCAATGCTTATTCCAAACATATACACATGCGGAGATATTGGAATAGACAACCTACTCTCCGATTTCTGTTCACTCCATTAGATTAGGTGCGGACTCAAAAAAATTTCTTTTAATTGTTTGTTTTGCTCTACTATTTATGAGACTAGGCCAAGACTCCAAATTGAGTCGTTTTTATTTTTTATTTTTGGGTATTTTGAAATCACAGTCTGAAAATCTTCAAGCTAATTGTTGAGATCATTTTCCATAATAAAAGCATCACCTGAAGAAACTTCTTTTATGTTCATGAAACTTCTTTTATTTTCATCATGCTTACCGTTCACAGTTTTTCTTTTTGAGTAAATAACACGCGCACCATTTTTTCCATTGGTGACGCTATCTTGTCATTTGGAAGGTGGAGGAGTGATACCACTTTGGCCAAGCCCTAGCTCAAAATTTGGCGAACTTAGCTTTGAACTTTAGAATTTAATATATATTGGAGTTTCTTATGGCTATTTGAGAACCTCTTTACAATCTTCAATGGGGTTGCCACGGTTGAATTCTGAAGAATTTTTTATTTTTATTTTTTATACCCATTGTGAATGAGATGATTTTGATGCCTTGTGTTATTGATCCTTTTGTCTAGCAGTGCCATCATCTTTATCATTTGTTTTGAAATTTGATGACACACTTTTTGAGGCTTTAGCAGGCACAATATCATTCACCTGTTAAGTTTCGCGGTGATCTCTCTGTGCTAAATCCTACTCTAGTCTTTGGTATTAGCTTTTAGTAACTATGCCTCGGGTTTAATAACATCGAAAAGCTTTATTATTATTATTATTATTTGTATTTGTATTACAACATTACGAAATTTTTAATTGTGCATTTCTTCATCATTGATCAAACAATATGTCTCAACATTCTTCCCCTTAATTTATCCTCTAAATTTTCAATCAATATCAATTTTTTTTTTTTCATACCTCTACTGAGGCTCGAACCCTAACCTCCCTTTGGGAAGTACCGCTAGGCCACATGCGTGTTGGTATCAATATCAATTTCCATCTCTCATTCCCCATGAATAATCGAGCCTGGGTAATGAAACTATTCTCTTTCGTACCTCCTAGCCTTCCATCTTCAATAATATTTCTAATTGTATCCCTAGTTTTAGACTCCTACTAGATTTACACTCTATATATTTAATTTTCGTACCTCCTAGCCTTCCATCTTTAATAATATTTCTAATTGTATCCCTAGTTTTAGACTCCTACTAGATTTACACTACATATATTTAATTTTAGTTCTACTGATATTAAGTGCTCTTGATTTAGAACAACTTTTTAAACATGTAGACTATGTAGTTTAGAATTTATCTCCACTTTAGTTTCATCAATTAAGATAATCTCATCACTAATAAAATACATAATAGACTCTTATCTTGAATGTTTATAGTTAGTTCATAAGGAAGGACATTACATTGTGGTTTTTATATCATAACCTTTATGAAGGGTATCAATTTGTTATGACCTACTTCGTCCTCTACTTAGTGTTATCAAAGGCCCAAGGCACACTAAGGTGCTAGAGGTCCTTTGGAGCCTAAGCACAATGTGCAAGGCGAGGCGTGTGCCTTAGTGAAGACAATTGAAAAATTAAATTACTATTAATGCATATTCATATTCCATATAAAAAGTGCAAATATTGTCAAAGGCAGACCTAGGCACATATGCTCATGGTACTTTAATGGTTTACCACTTTGCCAATGATCCAATTAGTTGTGATTACATTTTTGTGGTTTTTGTTTGGGATAAGTTGGGGCTCAAGACTATATATACTGATGTTGATTTTGATGCATGCATTAGAAAGTCAGAATACAAACATAGAAAGATTGTGGCTCAACATTGTAACTTCCAATAAATTTTATAGCTGCATAGTAGCATGCAACTGATAGTTTATCATAACTTTATACCTGAATGCCACTGGAATGATGATTGAAGTTTTCAATTAGGTATAACCGTATAAGGTACATAAACTAATAATAAAAGTGAAAAAAATAGGGATTGAGTATAGAGAGAGTGAAGAATTAAGGAAAATCAATATATATATATATATATATATCTATTTACCCTATAAAAGTGTATTCTACTTCTATTTTTTATATACACTTTTTGTATTATTGTACACGCGACGTTTTGAATTTTTTAAAAAAAGATACGCAGTTTACGATTATAAAAAAGGTTTATACAATGTTTTTATTACATACGTCCCTTCCACAATTTTAACCCTTTTGTTTTATTTTTAAAATTCCAAAAAACAAAACAAAACATATTCTATTTCTGTTCCCCTTCTATTTTTTTATTTTTATTATTTTTATTATTTTTTTTAAATATCAAACAGTTTTAACCCTTTAGTTGAAGACGTTATCCCTTGTTAGTTTTATTTAAAAAATTATAAAAAAATAAAACAGTTTCCCTTTATGTTCCTCTTCTTTAATAAATAAAAATCAAAGAGTTTCTATTATTCAATATTTCTAAATAACCGACACGTCTTTTTTTTTTTTTCACGTCTACAAGGCAGTTGGCGTATGAAGAAGATTCTATAATCGGCTGGGATCTTGCCTCTCTCATCCTCTGTCATTCCATCTCTTCTTTCAACATTCACTTTTGTCATCTAACTCAAGCTTAAAGTGTACCGAAGAAAGTAGCTTATCCAAGAAAGTCGTATCGTATTTGATTTATGCGGAGAACTCTAGGCCTATTTGACTTAAGGTATGTTTTAATATATATTTCGTATTGCTTATATTTTTGTTTTTGAGAATGCAATGTCTGAAAAAGTTTTTCCTATTCTCAGTCAGAATTATTCATCATGGTGTTCACAATATGTTTATTGTTTAATATAGATATAGATATAGATATAAATATATGTTATAATATCTGACGAGCTTGGCACGGCGAGCATAAATCACTTTATATTTTAGTAGTTATCTATATTTTTGTTTTTCGTTTGCTTATCTACTTCTGATAAAACATAATTGATTGATTGTTTCTTTCAATAGGTTAATATTTTGTTTAGAATACCCTGAGTAATAGTTCTATTTGCATAAACTGTTTCAGTTTGATTAATTTTTCAGTGGTTCATTTTAAATTAGAAAGAGATTGTGCTTTGATTTATTTTTCAAAATCTCTCATTCTAAAAGTTAAACAGTATTTTTCAGTGTTATTCTTAAATAGAAAATTCATACCGTGTTTTTTTTTTTTTTTTTCCTCCCCCTTTTAATTGTTTATTCACTCTATCAAGTCTATCCCAATTACTTCAAACTATTCTTTTTAAATAGAAAAAATTACACTCCAGTAGGATTCATACAATAATTATTTTTTTCCCTTTATTACCGTTAGTCATTGAAATTCCTCTATCATTTGAAGCTTACCATAATTGATTCACTCCATCCCAATTACTCTAAAATGTTCTTCTTAAATAGAAAAAATTACGTTTCAATAGGACTCATAGATTGATATTTTTTTCCCCTTATATATATATATATATATAGACACACACATCACTCCTTTAAAACACAAAGACGTTGGGATTGGAGACAAATTTCCTTTTTCCTTAAAAAAAAAAAAAAAAAAAAAAAAAATTATTCTTTTAAAAGTTAGTTCCTTGTTCCTTTCTAATCCTTGAGGCTGATTATACAATTTAAAACAATTGATTTAATTAAAAATTATTTTAATACAATAATCATTTTCCCTTTTTGAAGAAAAATTACCAGTTTTAAATTAGTTTATTCTTTCTCTCTAAACCTTTGACATTATCTCTATATCTTTTCTTTAAAGCATTCCTATCTTCTTCCATAACCTTAAAAAAAAAACTAACAGGATGCACTTGGAATGGTTGTTATAATAAAAAAAGTCAAAAATGTATGAAAAGTCAATGTTTGTTATTCATTTTATTGATTTCTTATTAGTATATATATTTGTATTCACTTTTCTTTATATATAAATAACTTTAAAATAATCTAAATATTAATCATGTTAGTGTGTATTAGCCTATTGAGTGTTACTGTAATACTATCATGATGCATCATGTTTTTATTTCTTTTTTCTTTTTCTTTTCTTTTTTTTTTTTTGTCACTTTTTTACAAAATTTGCCATTTATTAAAATTTCTAAAAAATATCATACCCCATTTCAATCAACTAAATCATTTATTCCTGATTTTTTTTATTTTGTGGGTTATTGAATATAATACTTAAGTGGTACAAATTTATCACCTATTTTTATTTTTGAGAGTTTTGATTTCATTTTCCTAATTTCTACTTATCATGTTCTTTTCCATTTCATTAATGATTAAATTTGGCCTTTTTTCCCTAGAATTTTTATTATCATCTTAAATTACTTTATGCTTACTTATTATGTGGAACAATTCAATGAGACACGAAAGTTTCGTCAATTTCATTATATGCATGATACTTAAATCTATATATATATATTTTTTATAATGCTAGCCTAATTATGTTTATATCCTTGATGAGTACAGGTTGAGCAAAATATAGTGCTAATTTCAAATAAAAGGAGGGAAAAATTACAAGTGAGTGGAAAATTTATACTTTACAATATAGTTTTTTTTATCTCGCTTTTAGTTAATAAAAATCTTCTATTATGTTGACTTATGTGTACTTTTTGTGTGCATTAAATATTAAAGCATTTATTAAGGTCTAGAATAGTTTATGTTTTCTTATTGTTAAAACCATTTTCTTATTTTATTTCAATGAATATATAAAATGCAGAAAAACTTATAATTAGAAAAAATATCATCATCTTTGTAAGGTAAACCGTTTAATTAGACACATAAATTTTTTATGAAACACCAACTTAATTTACTTTATATTTTCTATTATTAGATTATTAGATGCAACAAGATTATGTTTGCAAGGTGGACCATTCAATTAGACACATAGATTTCATATGAAAACAACATTTTATGTACTTTATATTTTCTATTATTAGGTGGAACAATTCAATAAGACACGATAATAAACGCGATAAATTGAACGCATATTATAGAAATAGTTATAAAAATTTGTCGCCTAACCAAAGAGAGCCATATTCGAAATGTAAGAAATTCAATAAAGAAATGAAAACGAGTGGCAATTGACATGATACATCTAAGAATGATAGACTTCATGGCCAGGATTTTAAGTCAATATTGAATAACAAATGTATAATTGTTTGCAATACTTTTAATCCACTTATTTATTTATTTATATATATATATTAGCTTTAATTACGTGCAACTGCACGTATGAGTTTCTAGTATATATATATGTATATATATATGGAGAGAGAGAGTGAGTGAAGAGTGAGAGTATATAAGGACTATATGAGCATGAGAGATGAGGTAGTCTGGTAGAGTAGCATCATGGGAGGGATCAATCAGAGAGTAGAATTTCGTTGTTTTTCGAAATATAGATTGGATTGTTTACTGGTGTTTGTTTTGCAACTATATGGTTTCGTCTGTGTTCGATGGATTTGAGTGGTAATTATTAGGATAAGATATGGCTAAGGAAGGAATCTCGAAAATTGGTTTGGGTTTGTTGTTTGGGGTGGGTTTCTTTTTAGTTGTCCTATCTAGCTTGCTTTATGTATCTAATGCCTTGGTAGGAAATGTGGAGCGAGGGAACAATTTTGGAGCTAGTTCGCGTTCAAATTCCTGTGTATTTGGTTTTCAACTTAGTTGGATACAGGTTTACAACTATTCCAACCTATACCTTGTTTGAGAAGGTATGTACAAGCACAATCCTCATTGCCTTTGATTCTCTAGTGTGTTTCCCCCACCCCATCTTAACAAAAGAAAAACAAAAACACTAAAAATTAGAGAAAATTGATTTCAAGATATTTTTATTTTTTTCCTAAGGTTAGCTTTATTCTTTGCATTCCCCCCTCCGGTCCTATCTACTCATGCACATAGCAATACTATTTAGCCAAAGTTGAAGCCAAGCCAACCTGGATGGGTTTGGTTACCTTTCTAATGACCAAGGTTTAGGCTTGGGATGGGTAACCTCAAGCTTCAATCTCAAAATGGGCGGGCTTGTGTTGAGTTGTTTGGCAACTGAACTAACCCAATGCGGGCTTGCTTACCTTTTTAGTAGCTAAGGTTGGGCTTGGGTTTGGGTTGAGGAACTGGAGATCTAACTTTTACATGGGCAGGCTTTTTGTCGGCCGACTTAACTCAAAATTACATTATATATTTTAGTAGCCAAGGTTAGGCTTGGGATGAGGAACCTTCTGTCCAACTTATACATAGTTGGGGCTTGTGTTATGGGCCTTGGCAATCCGATTTAGCTCAAAATTACACCTATATATTTTATTACATATAGTCTAATATTCGATGGTTGATGTATCAGTTGTGCCATTGTATTGTAAAAAGAAGCATGCGATCAAAGACACTTTATATACCTGGGAAATAATCAAGAGAAAACCCGAAATCTCTAAACTATATTTGAATTTGGGGTTAAAAAGCCCTAGTAGAACCTTTGAATGGATTTGAAAATTTTAAGATTCTGATGGTGTAATCGTTTTATTCTACTTCCTTTCTTCTTCTTTAAGTTTGAATAATCTAATCTTTTAATCAGCACCTTATATATTTTTGTTACTTTATCCTCTTCTCCATTATCTTTAAGTCTACTCATCTTGTGATTCAAATTTTGATTGATTTTTTTACGTTATGTAGATCGACTTTTTTTTGATTTCAGATCTAATTATGCTTTTTTTTTTTTTTTTTTTTTTCTCTCTCTCTCTCTCTCCCTATTTCTGTTAATTTGGCTTGATATATATATATATTCTCAGATGCAAACTATGCAATCTGACTTAATCTAGTGCTAAATCAAGCGCATAATTCTAAATCATTTGTGGATCTTGATTTTGTTTATTTATTCCTGAATGGAGATTTTTTTTAATAAAAGAATTTGCTGCAAGGCCAAGAAGGAGTGCATACCCTCCTTTAACATGAGAATAAGTAGCTCCATTTCCAAAAAACAAGAAATCAAGAAATTCAAGGCTATAATAGCGATTATCAATCTAAGCATACTGAAGGATCTTGTAGAGTTAAACTTAAGGAGTCCAAAGAATCCCACACAATTGTTTTAGCCACAGAATGAGGATTGAGGGCAGTTTCATGGTGCAGTATCAGATTTCTGGCTGTCCAAATGTGCCATATAGTTGAGGTACTATTCTGGAGCTAGCTCCAAAATTATTAACAAACCAGTCTAGAAATTGATGCCATGATGAGATGGCCGCAAAATTCTGCTGAAAGAAAGAAGATAACCATTCCTTGATCTGAGAGGCAAACTAACAATGAAGAAAAAATTATCTATATCATTCCCATCTTGCATCCAGTTATGGCAAATGTGAGCCAACGGCAGACCTCTCTTTCGAAGATTGGACCAGGAAGGCATTTGTTGTAAATCACCAAACATGTAGCAAAGTTATAAGCTCATCTAGCCTTGTTGCAGCAAATTTTGGCCCATCTAACACATCACTTGAGGCCTGTAAGCTTTCCATGATTCTTGAATTTGAAAGCCCCATTCTTCCAAACAAGGTTATCATGATCTTGGTGCAAGGGAATGGAAGAAATGAAATTCCAAGCTGGAGTAGTTTAACATATATTGAGGTTTTTTCCAAGCTCCATTGACAATTTTTTTTTTGGTAAGTAAAGATATATTATTAGAGAGCCTTCCAAAGGGGAACGCATCCCGAAAGCTATACAAGGGCCAAAGCCAAAGAGGAGGTCCTAAGGACCCAAAGAACCCAAAAAATGAATGATTTCCTCTATAGATATACAATTTCTCCCCATCACCCAACTAAAAAGAGAAGTAATAATAACATATTTCAAGGACCCAATGGAAGATTCTTCCCCTTTGAAAGATCTTCTATTCCGCTCCTTCCAAATGCACCACCAAACGCAGAGAGGGCCCTCCAAAAGTAATGGGCATGGGCCCCAACACTGCAACCCCTCCAGGCCTCAAACAACTCCCTCGCAGACCAGGGCATAACCCAATGGACACCGAACAAGCCAAATAAAAGAAGGCACCAACAATCGGGAGCCACGGGGCAATGCAAAAGAAGGTGATGCACGGACTCTCCATCCTTCTTACACAGACAGCACCAATTGATTGTAATTTGTCTCCTCTTTCTAAGATTGTTCATGGTCAAAATCTTGCCCCAAACTGTCGTCCACACAAAAAACGCCACTCTGAGAGGAGCCTTAGATCACCACACCGTCTTCCAGGGGAAGATCGAACCATGAGCCCCCAGCGAGACGGAGGAACAACTGAACAAGGAACGGACCTTGAATCACCCCTGAGGAGAAGGCACCCAGAATAAGGAATCCGAGCCTGTACCATCCTCCTCCTGACTATACAATAAATCTAGCTGGCCAGAAACATCGTCCAACTCTTAGTCCTGAAACGATCGCCAAAAACGCACGTCCCATGAAAACCTACCGGTATCAAGCCAATAACAGTCGGCCACCATGGCATGTCTATCCACGGCAATCCTGAAAATTCTGGGAAGCAAACAAGACAACGGATGATCCCCGCACCAATGATCCATTGACAATTAACTGAGAGATATCAGAATCCTTGGGCAGATCAAAGTAACAATTCTATTTTCAAATTTCTGAATGAGGGTGGTATCTTCACACCAAGGATCTTGGACTGAAAGCTTGCCCATTTTCAATTTTGAACTGAAGATCGGCTGCCTCAACTTCTTTGACTTCAAGAAGGTTCTTCCAGAACATGGATTAATTAGATGTGGGAAGACAATTCCAATACGAGGAAAAGGATGCATACTTTCTCCTGAACCTGTTAACCCAACTTGTCTTTGTTCTGCAAAAGTTTTCATGCTTTATCAGTCTCAGTAATCTCCCTTATGACAAAACCACCGTCAAATCTGGAGGTGGTTACCTTATTCCATTTCAACAGATGAATTTTCTTGGAGTTTTTTTTTACCACCCCATTACTCCATTAGTATGTCTTTTTCTTATCCAATAAGGCTATCATAGAGGCCGGAAGCCTGAATACAAAGCACCAGAAATAATAATAGGCTGAGATCACTGTTCTAAGTGATTTGCATCTTCCTGCCAGTGAGAGGTTTAGAGAGTTTCAATTGTTTTTTCTATTCGATACCTTATCTACTAGAGTAGAACAAGGTGAAGAGGTTGGTCTCTGGTCCTCAAGTGGCAAACCCAGGTAGGAAATTAGGAAAGTGCCATGCTTCATGCCAGGAGCCGCTTGATAATTCTAATTCTTTTGACACTTTTAGATAGATATAAATTGCTTTTATCATCATTCACAGCTAAACCAGAATTTTTTTAAAATTGAGCAGCTATAATTAGGTCATCAACAAAGGACAATGGGAAAAGGCTAAGCCGTGATTTTAAACAGCTTTGCAAAGCTTGATTGTTTCAAACCCTCCTGCTCCATTGGAGAAGTACACTTTAACAAGGGTAAAGAGTAGAGGGGATAGAGGGCAGCCTTGCCTCAGCCCTTTCTCAGGTTGAAAAACCCCCATAGGAGAGCCATTGATTAGAATAGAAAACTAGGCTGAGGAAAAATAATTTCTAAGTTATCCTCAAAACCAAAGGAATGCCCAATTTTTGTATTTTCCCTCAACCAACTTATTTTGGATATTTGGCCCCATGAGGATTTCTTCATTTGTTAAATCTGTGCATGTGGTTGCCCATAGTTATATATGTTCCAAGCCCTGCTCATGACATCCTCAATAAATTTTTGCTTGCACCAGGCTTTAAGGAATATAAAAGGTTTACTGTTACTCCTATTGTAATAGTGAAGGGATAAAGCATAGTGGTCTGACAGTTATGCAGTAGATAAAGCACATTGGGTATTAGGGAATTGCACTAGACAATCCTCACTAACAAGGAACCTATCCAACTGGGCATATGTTCTCGTTCCATTATGCTGTCTTTTGCACCAAGTCCATTTGCCATTTATAATAGGCATCTCATCAGTTTGGTTAATCACTCCACTAAATTCATTCTAGGGGACTTTGCGACCAGCACTTTTATCTTCTTGATATCTTATAACATTCCTGTCACCTTATATAACCCAAGGTTTGTCCGCCAGTACAAAATATTGGATGACGTGAGCCCGCAAAGATCTTGACTTGAACACCGTTGGCAGCATATATAGGGGATAAAGATGGTTTTCTGAAGTTAAGTGATTCTAACTTTCAATAACATGCACTGATCAGTCTCATGGATAGTTTGCACAGTATACTTAGAAGGGTTCAGTCTCACATTGATTCTGCTCAAATTGGGTTTAATTTTTTTTGGGGGGGGGGGGGGGGGGGTGGGAGTATGGTATGTTTATACCGAATTCCTAATATAACTAAAACTACTTGGACTAAATTGGTTGCTTTATCATCTGCCCGTCGGTCTTACAGTAATTATGCCTTGAGGAAAAAAAATCTTTTGGTGGTTGAGAAATTCAGGAATGTACTGAGGCTCCGGTATAGAGTAGCAAAGGACTGTGATCTAGACCTGGGGGGATGAATAGGTCATAGCTAACTAATGTCCAAATTTTAACTGAAATAACAGAAATTCAAACATTAACCTATCTAGAAAGTATGTAATTTAAACCATTCATCATCTCTGATAGCATTTAAAAACTTGTAAAGTAAAATAAACAATCACATAATGAACACATGAGTTGGTGGAAACTCCGAAGGGAAAAACTACAGGACCTAGTCTAGGCAGATTAAATCCACAATGAGAATGAAATTATACAATTAGGCTATTAGTTTCCCAAACCCTGGATTTCTATATACTTACCTCTTCGCACAGATTGACGTCAAACTCTTCTCTCGAGTCTCCAAACTGCTGCTTTGTCAACAGATCTGCTTCTTGCTCAATCCCCTTCTCCACGTGCACATTGGTCTCCATGGTCTTTCATTCAGGCAATGTGTGCAATGGGTAGAATCACGTTGGTGTTGAATTTCCCTTAGAACAACAAAGCTAATGTTCAATGCCTCAAGAACATACTCTTACCATCTAATGCAATGATGAAGTAAGAAAGAAAGAAATTCTAGGAAATAATTGCTAGATTGCAGTCCCATTTGCTCTATATGCTCAGAAAAAGTTTTCCTCTTGGTTACTTTATTTTTTATTTTTTTGATTGATAAGTAACATGGGTGATTATGTAGAGTTTAGAAGGCTATAGTGACTAGGCTTAAAAGAGATTAAGTCCTATTTGGAAACTGAATTTCACAGAGTTTGATCGATTGAGCCAAGTGTTAATCGATTGGACACTTGGCTCGATTGGACACTTGGCTCGATCGATTGAAACATGGCTAGTAGCCTTCAATGAAGCCTATGATCGATCAAAGTGCCCTGTACTTGTTATATTAGGATATTAATGTAGGAAAATTCCAAAAACGTGTTTATGCAGTTAGAAAAGGATCTTTATGATTCAAAATGTGAAATGTAAGAAACTTTAATTGAATATATGCACAAACAATATGAATTCTAATTTTGAGTGAATGTTTGGGAGTTGAAATTCCCTATTTTCCCTTGAATACAGCTTGGACTTTTGAATTCACCCTTGGATTGAGTTAACACAATTAACTCTAACTAACTTTAAAAAATTATCTAAATGTTAAATAAGATACATAATCAAGCGTTTGAAATGAAATTAGCCAACCTAAGTCCTATTGACCTAACAATGGTGTTTGCCATGCCAGAGCAAACGAACATGAACGATCTTTATCTTAGAACATTGGTTGATTAAAATTTATCTTTCTTGTCTGGGAGTTGTCTTTTACTGATTAGATTTTACTTCTAACTTTTCTGTACAGTTTGGATAACCTTTGGACTGAATTTGAACAATGACTTCAAGTATGTCAGCTGGAGAGCGAAGGTATCAATTGAATTTTTCTTCTTACAGTCTACTATTTTTTGAATTTTGTCTGTCAAGGTTTTCATTGTTGCCTTAATGGGAGTAGCCAACTCCGACAAGTGAAAGGTTTATAATATGCAGCAAGGTAGTATCTCAATATATAGGATCCATGTTTGACTTGCATGACATACATGTGATGATTTGGGAGTTGCGATGTGAAACGGACAGCGTATTGCTCAGACAAAAGGAATATGGAAGCTCAGGAGAGTTTGCTTTGTTTACAAATCATCTCCTTTCCTAATAAATTTTGAAGACATAATGTTCTTTAGGAATCCTCAAAATTTTCATTTAATATTCCTTTGCAACAGTCCACCACATAAGAAAGAGGCCATTTTATTTTTTTATTTTAATATTTCTTTAAATTATGTTTGACACAATTTGCATGGATCAAAGATTAATGCAAGTTAATAAAAAAAAACTTTGTCAAAGCTAACCATATAAAGGTTGCTCATTTTTTTATTTTTTATTTTATTTTTATTTTTTTTATGTTTTGCTTCTTTGTGTGGTCCAACTGTTTTAAAGCTGATAATGAAAAAGATGAAGTATTACCTTTAGAATACATACATACATATATATATTTATTTATTTTTGAAGTGGATTATGATGTCATGTTCATGTTGAAGCACGCTTGTTGGTAGAATACTCATGCTTTGTGTTTCGCATGGATTATTATTGTTATTACATGCCATGTAGTTATTCGTAGTGCTAGTCTAGTGATTGATTTGTGTTTCCTACATACCATGTAGTTATTCTGAAGTGCTAGTCTATGACATTTACATTCCATGTAATGCCTCACCCTAATCTTTTTTTCTTTTTCTTTCTACATGGCAATATGTCACCCTAATTTTTTATAACTATAAATATGAATATCCTTTCCATTTCATCCTTAGACACTAGTTCTTTTTCCATAAGAAATTAATATCTGAATTCCTAATTCTACAATATCAAATGCACTTTTTCAGAATTTGAGCTTGTTTGTTATTGGATATTTTTAATGGAAATTTTTTTCAACATTTGTTCCGACAATTCCTTCATTAAGAAAGACAAAAGTGTAGCACCATAATCACCATTGCAGATTTACCAACTTTTAAGTCTCTTATTATTAATTACAAGAAAGGAGAATACAAAACTTTACATACAGTTGAAGGTGGTAAATAAGACTTGAGTAGCAATTAAACACGTATCCTGGGAAAAAAAAAACCAATGCCTAAATGTGCAAGAAAGCTCAAAAGAATGAAGAAATAAGTAGTGGGGATTTTGAAGTGTCTAAGAATTGATTGTGATCATCTAACGGAAGAACACAAATTTAATATGTATCCTTGGATTGGAGGCCATACTCTAGCTCGCCAACCATACCACTGGCCTAAAGTTACATGGACCACCGCACCCCCTCTGGCACCCCAGGAGCGATAGCTCCACAGCACCCTTGGAGTACTAGCTGCCCACTTCACTTTGTTTCTCTCACTGCACTCCTTCGGCGCTACACGTGACCGGATAGAGGCCAATACTGGCATAAGACGATCATAGAACTCAAGGATCTTCTCAGTAGTACCAACCAAGTTGTATGGATCCAAGGAGTGGCGAATACGCCGAGGCCACAACACAAATGACGGGGCTCCCGAAGCAAGCAAAGTAAGAAAGAAATTACATAGAAGTATAGAAGGGTCCCATCGCGAATTAGCCGCTTGCTACTCCATATGGGTAGATAGCTTACTATATAAATTCCTTACTGGGGGGAGTCTGGTCATCACTAAAAAGAGATCCACAATCTCTTTAAGTAAGCCTTTCTATGGCATTTTTTATACATTTCCACCAGTGGAAAGGTGATGCAAAAAGGTCTAATTAATGATGGTGATGGGACGTGGTAGATGCCAATGAGAAAGTGTTTATAAGGGGTTTGCAATGTGCTTTGTTGAGGGTTGTATGGTGGAGTGGCATGGGTAGGGAGGATAACCCAGCTGACTGGTCAATCTCAGATATCTTATTAGCTTGGCAGGTTGGGCATTTGTTGAACCGCCCCTACTAATGGTTACTGATTCTCTAAACTTGCCACAAACATGAGACAGACAGTGGCCTGGAGCAGGTTCTTGTTGCACACAATCACAAGGTGAATAATGGAAGTAATGAAGTTGACACACAATCACACAAAAGGAACACAAGATTTACGTGGTTCAGCAGGATGCTTATGTCTACCGAGGAGAGGAGATCAAAATCCACTAGCAATAATAATATAAGGTTACATGAAAAACATGGCCAACATCTCAGTTTTCTCCATATAACCTTTGTTTTGTAACAAAACCATAATATGCTCTAAGTGATCACTTATAGAAGACACTAGGGTTCTGTTTGATAAAACTGCACATTACGTACTGAAGGTTTAAAGTGCTAATCCTACTTTGAAAATCTTTTTGATGCTCTTTTGAACTTTAAATGTTAAGTGATAAGTGAAGTCACGCTCACTTAAAATTTTACCCTTTCTTTAAGCGGTGCTTAATTTATTCAGAATCACGTCTTGAATTGGGTGGGAAAATAATTTTAATTACATTTTTTGGGCCTGGGGCTCCTCGTAGATCCCTAGCCAGAAGTTATTGCAAAACTAAAAAACTGGTTGTGATGTATCCCGAGCACAGTAAACAAAGACATCTCACAACAGTTTTATGGAAGAAAAATTATTTGTGTGGAACATAGGATTTTTGTTAGGATTATTTTACATGTAAATATCTATTATCTTTTAGAAGATGCCTTCCATGATCCAATCTAGCTACTGTATTACTTAGTTTTATTTTTAGAAGTTGATTGTTGAAGAAATTTTCAGAGTATATATAGTCTATAGATAAGGTCTGTTGTAGCAGAATGGATAAAGAGTGAAGTAGTTTCAAATTTGAGGAGTTAAATTAGCAAAAGAGGATTTTTTATTTTATGTTCTTTCTTGCATTCTTCTATTTTTTTTTTATTTTTTATTTTTTCTTCTTTCTTCTTTGTGGCTGTTCAGAAATTCAGCAATCCTATTTCTAGATTTTAGATCTCATAGTCACCAGGCTTAATCTCACATCCTTATTTTCTTAAAAAACCTTTAAAAAAAGCCATCTCCAGCATTCAACCACCAAAATAAGTGTTTCAGATAGCATTATTATAAAATTTTGAGTGTTATCCTATATAACATACACGGGCTGCTCAATATAAGTTTAGGCCTAAGGCAAAATTTTTAAAAGATGTCTCTTTGACTAATAATATGTCGATGGAAATAACATTAATTAACTTTATAGTTTTTGTTTGACAATCCACGCTTCCCATTTTTGAAATGCAAAAAAATAAAAGTAAATTGATCTTGAGTAACTTGTAAATAAAATGGTATATTTTGAGTTTTACAGAAGAAGAAAAAAATTCTTATAGTATAAAATTTGATTTTTATTTATAAATTCAGTTTTATTTTCTTATAATTAACACGCTCTATTCTCTTCTCTCCTAACAAACAAAATAAGGTATTATCTCATTCTCTTCTCTTCCATCCAACCAAACAAAAAGAGGGAAGGACACAATCTCTTCCCCAGGAATGTCTCATTAATCTCTTCTTCTCTCCCTACCATTCAATTTTCTTCCTTCCTACCAAATGGAGCATAAAAGTTGGAATGATGAAAGTGCAAAGAGTGATATTGGATATGCAATTTTTTTTTTTTGTAGAAAGATGATTTGCAATGTAAATGTAAATTTGAGAAAGATCTCATTTCTAAATAATGTCAAGTTTTTGTACTAATGGATAATTTAATCTTGGAACCAACTTTAAGTTGTACTACGTATATTAAAATTACTCGAAGTCAGTTTACCAAAGAAATTTTTTTGGAGATGTACAGGACCTTTTAAAATAGTAGAAAAAATTACTTTAAAGTCAATTACTTATTCTGGTTCATATAAAAATATATATACATTTATATATATAATTTTTTTTTTGAAGTACTAAACTCTATTTACAACTCATTAGTGAATGGTGAGGCCTTATTTGAATGTGGGGCCTTAGGCAATGGCCTAGCCATTGAGCCGGCCCTGAACATACACTTGCATATCCGGAAACTTAATCTGTCTCTTTCCCTTTTTTATCAAATTTGGTGGTTGAATCAGAAAAGGACTGGTTGTTCTAGGCTTTTTTATTTGGCCGGAGGTGGTATACTCAAATTAGTTAGGTGGCGAAAATTTTGAGCTGATTGGGTTGGCTGGTTCATGTTGACAGAGGCTGTCGGATTAAATATTTGCTGGGCTGTAATTGTAAACAGGCACTAGTTGAAATGCAATTAGCATTCTTATTCTTTCCAAATTGAACGAAGTTGAATTGGGCTAGGTAGCAGTTTGAGTTTAGTTTACAAGCATCATTGTACCCTTTTTTTTTTTTTTTTTCTTCCTCTCCTAGTTGGTGGTACTCACGCACACATGCCTCCACCGAGGTTCGAACCACTTACCTCCTTTGGGAAGTAGGGGCCTGGTACCGCTAGGCCACTAGCCCGTTGGTATCATTGTACTCTTTCCCCATTCCCTTATTATTATTACTTTGTTGTTGTTTCTTACCTTTTCTGACACTTTGTTGTTGTTTCTTACCTTTTCTGACTAGTATTTCCTGTCTTTTTATCCTTTTCTGTCTCTTTTCCTCAGCAAACATTACTATATTGGTTTTGTCTTTGACTACACATTTTACCCCCATGTCTTTTCATGTGTAATGCAATTGGTGAGTGTCAAGTTCAGATGTGTTGGGAATATAATAATTCCCACATGAAGATGATATGTAAATTTATTGAATATTGTTCCTTTACTTTTTTTGACTCTCTATGTGTATACACACATATACATACATACATACATACATACATATATATATATATATATTAATATCCCTCCCTCCCTCTCTCTCCCTTTTGTTTCTTTTTGTTGGTGAGGGGAGGAGAAGGGAAGGGGGAGTTTCAGGTTGAGATTTTTTGCCTTGAAGGTTTTAGAAATCTATATTTCACGTCTTCCTTGTGCACGACTTCTGCACAAAGCTGATGCTAATAGCCTAACGCTGCAAAACATATTGAAAATCTGTTCTTTTTTATTCCTTGGGTCTTCTTACTTAATGATACATGTCAGATAGCGTTGGGAATGTGTCTTAAAATCCTTTTCTGTTAGGATTTTATTTTATTTATTTTATCTTTTCCCATGTGGAATTAAATATTTCCAGCCTGCAATATGTTGCTTCTTTCCAATTATGTAAGGTGGCATACGAGAGGGAGATGAGTTTTTGGAGGAACATTGAGATTTGTAGAGTTGTGAGGAAGGGCCTTCCTTAGTTTGTTCATTGATATGCACTATAGTGGATCTTCTCATCTCATGGGTTAGCATAGGTTAGGTTCTCACAAGCTGCAGTGTCTTTTATTCTTTTTTTTTTTTTTTTGGTGTGGGGGGGGGGGGGGGGGGGGGGGGGGGGTGTGTTTGTCATTCTCTCTTTACTATGCTTGCCTACATTCTTGTACTTCTTCCTTCATTGTACCAGATCTCTTTTTCTAGTGTTTTGCATTTCTGCATGTTTGATTTAGTACCTTCGATAGGCATCTTTCCATGCTTGAATGCCTCCTGTTATGGGAATGAGCCATATCCTTTGTGAAGGAGCGGTTGGAGTGAATGTGATTCAAATACACCAATTTCTAATAGCATTACTTGTTAATTTGTTTTGAGAATGTTCTCTGGTAGTGGCTATTGGTTATGAAGGTTGTCTGGGATTCTGATTATCTTTAATGTGCAGTTATCATATGGTGTTTTTTTGCGTATATGTTTTCCCATTTCATTCGTGGCCAACTTCAATAAATAGCTACTTGTATGCTTCTCCACACCCCCTTCCTCCTCTCTCCCTCCCTCTTCTTTTGGTGTCTATGTCCTGTTGTTGATTGGCCTTGTTTGGATTGCCTCCTTACATTTACGTAAGTCAGCACAAGCATTGTAAAATCCATTGGGTTTTTGAACTGTTTGATTGTATAAAACACCCTCTTTATGTCATTTGGTCATTACTGCAGGTGGGCTTCAGCAAAAAGAGGTGGCATGACTGTTTTGGGGAGAGTTGCCGCTCCAAAACCTCTAAACTTACCCAGCCAAAGGTATCTGGTTTTCTGCTGGATTATGATTCCTTTGCTAAGTAAATTGGTTTACTCTCTGAAGTTCTTTTCAATGTTGTTTCAAGGTTAGAAAATCATGGTCTGGACCCAAGCGTGGAAATTGTTCCCAAGTGAGTGATACATGTGGTCTTGGTTCTCTCTCGTACACACACTCCCATAGACAGGCACACATGAACATACTTTTTATGAACTCCTATAGACAGGCACACATGAACATACTTTTTATGATCTTTCTGTTAGCAAAACTATACTCAATAATCTTCTTTTCAGAAGTTCAAATAGTAACATATTTATATGTTCTGCTTTATATTCCATGGAATTGATCCAGATACTGTCTTAACTTGATAGGGGAACCCTTAGCTGGGGCAGTCGATCATCTTCATCTGCATCAAATGCATGGGGTTCCTCGACACTATCTCCAAAAGCTGATGGTAGTGCTTGTTCACTAAGTAATCTCAGTGGTCGCCCTTCATCCAGTGGAAGCAGCACTCGACCATCATCAGCTGGTAGCAATAGAACGCATGAGCCTACTCTCAGTGCATGGGGCCCAAATTCTAGGCCTGCATCAGCTTCTGGGGCATTGTCATCAAATCAAACATTAGTGACGTCATCACGTCCTCGCACTGCAGAAACAAGACCTGGTAGCTCGCAGTTATCACGGTTTGCTGGACCGTCATCTGATAATACAGTAGCATGGGGTCCACCTGGTACCACTGAGAAATTGGTATGGTGCTGTAGCTAAGCAGTTTCAATGTTAAATTTTCATGTTTTGACATGGTCACCTCGAAAAAAAAATTTCCTTCCCTTTTTTGTTATTAGAAATATGCTGCAATACATTTTTGTAGTCATATTTGATGAACTGATTAGTAAAATATAGTGGTGCAGATCTGCCTGTTTCAGTTTTTTTCCCATCTCATGTTATGGTGAATTCTTCTGTTGAGGTTACTGCATTATTTTTTTTATGGTCTTTCGGCCCTTACCTGTTTCAGTTTATCTTTATTTACATGTAGGGGATGGCATCCACCAAGAAAGATGGATTCTCTCTGAGTTCTGGAGATTTTCCTACACTTGGATCAGAAAGAGAAAATTCTGAAAGGAATTCTGAGTCACTAGGTGATTGTGCATGCTTATAAGAACTTCTATGCTGTTTGCCTTCAGTTTTATGTTTCTCTCTTTGTTATTGTGAATTGTTCCTCAATCGTCCTCGATTGATGTGTTAATTTTGAACTGCTAGTTGTGTTCTTTGAAGGCTAAGAACGGTCATTCTCTGATACTTTTTTTCAAGTTCCAGTTTGTTGCGAAGTTGACCGTCCAGGTCATAGTTTTGGTGTCGCAAAACAAATGGAATGGACGTTTCATATGGTGGAAAACCATAAAAATGAAAGCATGTTAAAATATCATTACTGTCTCAATGTTGCATAAGTACAAAATGGAAGAAGGGTAGATCTACAAAAATCTAGGTTGAATACACGAGTATTGATTAAAATCTAAGGTTCGATTGTATATTTGTTGTTGTGGAGGCTGGACCTACAGTTATGTCCTGTTTTTGGACCACATCAAAGCTTTAAACAATAAAAACGAGTAGAAAAATAATAAGGGAACAAAAAAAAAAAAAAAAAAGAGAAAAAAGATGGCTAAAAAGGGGCTTGAAAATGTTGAACCAACAGTAATATAGGCCAAATTTTACTTCATGTTTCTAAAAATGTTTTACTGGATTTTTTTTTTGATGAGTGTGTTTTACTGGTAAAACATGCAATACCTTTTTGAGTATTTGATTTTATTTCATGTGAATTGATTGTTTGTTTGATCAACAATTAGTGGCAGACCATGGCTCTTATGGTCGTCCTGACTCATCATCCAGCAGGACAGCAGCGCCAGAAGAGAGGAATGCAACTTCATCAGTTGGTTTGTATTCATGCATTTAGCTCTTCTATTCTCCTAGATAGATTTGTCCTTTACTGAGTACAGTTTCTATTTTATATGGTGTTTAGCATTTCATAATTGAAAAAAATGAGTGATGTTATTTCAGGTGATGGTTCTGCAAGTGAAAATGCCAAGAGTGGAACTGTGATTACTCGGGAAAAAGATGGTTCCCGACATGAGGATGGGTTCCGGCCTAGTGTGGAGAAATGGCAGGGGGAACCCCAACCATACCCAAACACTAGTGTTCTCCCTAATCACTTTGACGCTTGGCATGGCCCTCCAATGAATGCTCCTGCTGGTGTTTGGTATGGAGGACCTCCAGTAGGTCCACCATATGGAGCTCCAGTTACTCCTGGTGGCTTTCCAATTGAACCATTTCCCTATTGTCGTCCTTTGTCAAACTCTCACCCAATTCCTCCACCAGGGGTCGGACCAAGAGGGCCCCATCCAACAAACGGAGACTTATACAGACCCCACATTCCTGATGCCTACATTCGTCCAGGTATGCCAATTAGGCCTGGTCTTTACCCTGGTCCGGTGGCCTATGAGGGCTATTATGGGCCTCCAATGGGCTATTGCAATTCCAATGAACGAGATATTCCTTTTATGGGAATGCAAGCACGTCCCTCAGGTTATAACAGGTATCCCAGCCAAAATGCTCGAGATCCTAGCAATAACCATGGCACGATGGTTGGCCATGGAACTACTGGCAAAACAATTGTCTCAAAACAAGTGGAATCTGGTCGTCCCGATAATACTCGAGGACCATCTGATGTTCTTCTGAAGCAGCACAGTGAATGGGGAGGAGAAGAGGAAGAAGGGAGTTGGGAGCAAACTATACCAGCTAATGGCCCACATCTTGAGAAGGGGAACCAACCAATGGTGTACTCATTGAAGGATGAGTGGGGAGCAGACTACAAAATGGATGAAGAGATGCACTCAAAAAGACTGAATGAAGATGCTTTTTCCCGGACTTTTGACAAACGAGGAGGTTATTCTTCAGAATCTTTTGAAGTTAAGTTTCCTGAAAGTTTGTGCAATGGAAAAGCAGTTGATGACATTATGGTAAAGGAATCAGGAAATGCCTCGGCTGCGTTGCCAGAAGGGCCTCAAGCATTCCCAGCTTCTCCAAAAGATGCAACTTTGATACGAAAGATGGAAGGTTTGAATGTAAAAGCAAGGGTTTCTGATGGACAATATAATGCTGCATCTATTTCTAGTAGGGAAGTGCAATATAAAAAGTTACAAGTTGGCAATGCTAAGACCAACTGTTCTGCAAATGCAGTTGGTACTGATGCTGTATGCACTGAAAGAACTCATGCCAGTGGAGATCTTATCCCAATCTCCCAAGAAGTGGATATTTCTGGAGGAGATAAGACCCTTCAGCCAGCAGTTGCCAGCGGGACATCCCTTCCAAGGTTTGTAATTAACATACTTCTGCTGACATCATATATTTTGTTTCACCTGTTGGGAAAAAGACTAATTTGCAAATTTATAGGAGAAGTCATGGTATGCATGGCAGAACTGACCATCGTGGTAAAAGGTTCAACAATCAGGATGCCGTTGGGTGGAGAAAGGAACCTATAGTTTCTGGGTCTATGGATGCTAGTTCATCTGCAAATCATGAACCTACTTTTAATGTTCATGTTCAAGACCACCATATATCTGGGGAAGTTGTTGAGAAATATGGGATTATAATTGGAAGGAAGTATGAGGGTGAATCTTTGACGCCGATGTTTGACCCAAGTGAGTCCGAGGCACAGGTAATGATTATACTTTTATGCCTCTAGTTTTTGTAATATAAATTTGGTATGCTATTTTCTTTATGTATGTGTTTTAATCAGCGTGCTAAGATGAGGGAGATAGCCAAGCAACGTGCAAAGCAACTTCAGGAGGAGGAGGAAGAACGAACAAGAGAGCAGAAGGCAAAGGCTCTTGCAAAATTGGAAGAGTTGAACAGGCGTATTCAGGTGGCAGATGGTTCAACTCAGAACTTGGAGAAGGCTCTGCCTGGTGCTCCCATGCATCAAGAGAAAGAAGTATCCCAAGAGAACGAACGAACAAGAGAGCAGAAGGCAAAGGCTCTTGCAAAATTGGAAGAGTTGAACAGGCGTATTCAGGTGGCAGATGGTTCAACTCAGAACTTGGAGAAGGCTCTGCCTGGTGCTCCCATGCATCACGAGAAAGAAGTATCCCAAACACTTGCTGAAACGGTGATTGTTTTTGGCTCTGGTGTGGTTGCTCAGATTAGTGAGGGCAATACTAGTGGGGTGGAGACACCAGATGCTGCCCAACAGGAATCTGTTGTTCCATATGGCCAGTCTTTGCCCTTGCAACAGGATCCTGAGAATGCTGGAACTGCTTACTGTAAAGCTCCTCCCCAAGAAAATGATGGTGGTGTCTCCAGACACAAGCGTATGGGGTTAAAGCAAAAGCAGAATATTCCAATGGAAAGGAATTTGACTGCAGAGCCCATTCTTACTATTACAACCAAGGCACCAAAAAATCGTTCTGATGGAGCTGTTAATGATATTGCATCTACTGAGGTTGTTGCTGAAGTTGGCCCAAGTTGGGAGCCTAGCTTGCTCATAAACCCCAATATTATGGCCGAGTCCACAACACATCAGAGGAGGAAAAACCACAGGAGCAGCAAGAACAAGCACAAACTGGAGCCTTCTATCATTGATTTAGGATTGCCAGTGCCAAAAGAAACTAGTCCTGCAAAAGCTTCAATTGGAAGTGGAAAGTCAAAGGTTTCTGAGGTTGAGTTGGATCCTTGCTCTGTTCAGTCACTTACTGATGCTGAACTTGCAATTCAACCTTCAGAGCCGAACTCTCTTTTACCTAGTGAAGAATCCACTAGTAGAGTAAATAACCAGTGGAAATCTCAGCAGTCTCGCCGAATGCAAAGAAACCCTCAAGCTATCAGATCACCTAAATTTCGTAACAGTGATGCTGTTGTCTGGGCTCCTGTGCGGTCACAGAACAAATATGAGGTTACAGATGAAGCCAGTCACAAGAATTCATATGATGCTGTTACTCCAACAGGAAAGAGTGAGAATCTAGTGCAGAGTAGTCTGAAAAGTAAGAGGGCAGAAATGGAGAGATATGTTCCAAAGCATGTTGCTAAAGAATTGGCTCAGCAGGGAAGCATCCAGCAACCTTGCTCAACCTCAATCAATCAGACAACATTGGGTGAGACTGCTGGGGGGGCAGAACCTGGTTTTCAGAGCATTGGAAGTCTTCAACCTGCTGACTCAGCAATTGGGAATGTTGCGTCTACTGAGGAGTATAGGAATGGGAATAATAAGCAGAATAAGTCGTCAAAAGCGGATGGATCATCTATTACTTTGAACCATGGCAAGAATGTTCAGAAATCTATGGATAAACACCGATCTTTCATTCCTGACGTAGATTCAGTGGAAGGGCAACTGAACTTCTCTGATGAGTGGAACACTTCTGAAGGCTGGAAAACTACTGATAAATTTGACACAGCTGCACCTGTCACATCTCCTGTCATGAAAGATCAAGGAGTAACACGGAGAGGAAAGCAACATCCATTTAAGGGTCATCGAGGCACTGGGAATAATTATGATCATGATCGCAGGAATGTTAATAGTGAGGGCACGTTTAAAAGTTATCGGCAATCTGCAGCCCCCGAAAGTAGCCAAGCAGACAGAACTATGGCTATGCGAGAAAACCGTGGTGTCGGAGAACGAACAACATCTCATTGGCAACCCAAATCCCAGGCACATTCAGCTCATTATCATCGAGGAAGGTCTGATGGAGCTGAAATTGTTAATTCTGAAGTTGGTAAGGCTATCAAAAAGGACTCTCTTCCCAAGGATAGGGTGGATCTTCCACCACAGGACAAGGAGAGCAGTGGCACAATGGCTCACTCTCACCTTTATCAATCTCCCTCTGAACACGAGAGTTTGGCAGAAGCGCAAAATGTAGGGCATCAAGAGGCTAAGAGAGAGAAGAAGGTAGCTTCATTCAAGGGACGCCCCCGCTCCCCGAATCAAGGTCCTGTTAACATGGTCAAATCGGCTCCCACTGCAGATATGGATATCAGACATGAGCAGCGCTTTCCCTCAGGGTTTCGCAAGAATGGAAACCCAAACCACCGTTCTGGCAGAGGGCGTGAATCTCGTGGAGAATGGACTTCAGCTGGACAAGATAGCAAACATCATAATATTCCTACAAACCAAGAGATGCAGGGGCACGATTCACATTATGAGTACCAGCCGGCTGGAACATACAGTAGTAATGGCAAATCGAACAATTTCCAAAGGCAAGATGGGTCACATAACACGAGCTCGAGGTACAGGGAGAGGGGTCAGGGTCCCTCAAGGCGTGGTGGGGGCAGCTTTTATGGTCGTCAAAGTAGCGCCGTCGGAGTAGACACTGGTTATGATTGACGGGGAACTAAAATCTGGAACTGGATTATATTTTGGGGTTGAAAAACTTCCTCTGAACGCTAGTTTTTGGCATTAACTAGCCACGATTTCAGGTATTACTAGTTTAGGTGGTACTGTTTAAATTGGCTTGAATCATGTGTATTGAGCAGGACAAGGGAGCAAGCATCATATGATGCCGAGGCAAAACGTTGTTTTGTGAGGTGCTAAGATGTTGATTCATTTCTTATTTGAATATGTAACTAATTTTAGCATCTTAATTTGGTCATGGGTTGTTAGCCATCGAACCTTTGCCATTCTCCTTAAAGAAGCCTTGTATTTTCTGACCATCATATATGTGCACGATCTATGGAATACTAGGGTCGGGAATGTATTAGGGAAGTAGTTTTTTGGTTCTTCCAGTTGTTAATAAATTTTTATTCTTTGTTCTCTTGGTCTGATTTTACTTGTAGTTCCACTTGCAATTGTTCTTCTTCTTTGCCCTGTTTTCCGAAGGAAATATTTTTAGAATTTATGACGTGGGGATGTTCATTTGTTCCGTGAATTAGATTCAATTCAGTCTATTCCATGCGGATTTGATTGGATTTTCATTTGGTGCTGAATTCGTAAACTAGAAATTTAATTTGATTCGTAAATCGGAATATACTTGTATGCAAAAACTATTTTATATATAACAAGTTAATAACCAAATCAACAATTTTTTGGAGTGGGATGTGTTGGTACCAACTAGGAAAGGAAAAAAAAAAAAAATCGTTTTAGCCCTAAACCTAAGCCACCTCGTTTACTCTTTGCACACTAACAATTTAACCAACAGCAAGCGGCTTTTCACTGTTCCAAGTGAAGCACTTATCATGTGGTTAGGAGTTTAACGGGACACTATTATGCAGAAAATAAACACTCTCATTATCAGCATTACTCTTTAGGAGTTCAACTGCGTAATAGAATCAATAATAAATGATATGTTCTACTATTATGGAGAAAATTTCCATGTGAAGCATTTCATATATATATATATATATAGGGCTGTTTTAGAAAAGTCCAATCCTTATAACCAATCTAATCCAATCTGATTAGATAGAATCAAATTAAACCTTTTCACAAATCGGATTGAATTCAATTTTCAATAATACAATGCACAAACAATGCCACAAATCAATAGAATGCAAAGTCAATTTATTTATTTATTTGTGTGTGTGTGTGTATTTTGGCATTGTGCATTTCGAACTTTGTAGTTATAAGTGTTTAGGATACGTATATATGTATATAAATAGGCTTTGCATTCTATTTATCTCTAGATATTGTATAGAGCCACTTTTTGAATAATTAGACCTTTAATTTTATTCCAAAACATGTCCTCCATTACTAAAATTTTTGCTTAGAAAACTGATAAACATGATTAGGGCAGTTACAATAAATATGATCGAACATGCTTGTAAATATAATTGATTGATTCAACTATCATTCGCATTAGCAGCAATAACAACTTTAGCATCCTCATCAATAATTTAAGATTCTGGATGTTTATGATTTTACTAGTCTCGACAAATGAAATACAATTTTTTAGGGCATTTGGTGTGCATATTCAAGGATATTTATTTATTTTTTTAAAAAGTGAATATCCATGTCAGCACACGTAAACACACATCAGCACACTAACGTAATAAAGGCCAAATGCTTTATCCGTATGTAATTTGCCTAAACCTCTGTGTAATTTACCTAATTTAATAATACAAAAGAATGTATCAAATTAAATAGCTCAATCTTGAGGAACAAATAAAACTCAAAAAACAGCTTCTAATTATTTTACATGATTGTAACTTGAAATCGCAAAAAACCCAGGACTCAAACACTTACCAAGATTCTTCTCAAAGGCTAATCTTGGTGCAATGCTTTGCTTGGAGTACCCTCAAAGCATAGAAAGTAGTGGTTTGTGAAACCACTTGTGTTACAGATATGTAGCCATTGCAGCAATGTAATGGCTATAGATATATATGCAACAACTAGTTGTATAAATCTATCACGCACTTGTAAAGTTCAAAAAATGTTTTGTCCAAACAAAGAGTTCAATTATGGATAAAATGATAAATTTACACGTCAAAGATGTCTTTTCAAAGAGGTAAAGAATATACAGATAACTCCACAAAGTTTTTGTCATGATTCATCTTGCTGTATAGATATTGTCCATTTTTCACATTTTTTATACTTTCGGTTTTCAAAATGCATCTACATGCAAGTAATATTGGACGTCACAATCACCTTCTTTTAAGATCCAACATTCTTGTTGGTGTGACTCTCACAGACTTGTGCATGTTCCTCCATTTTGGACTTAGAATTAGTTTTGATTCCATATGTTACAACCCTTCTACCCTTGTGTACTTCACACATTCTTCTCTTATGATTTACCTCAAAATGCGTCTACACAGTTGGGAGGTGTCCACATATATAAGTGTCATCGGCCTAACATGGCGTGACCTTCGTAGGTTTGTGCAAGCATTCCCCCTTTTTTGGTTGTGGAATGACTCTGATACCATTTGTCACGAGCTGCCTGTTGTGTATATATTATCTGTTTTTGTACACTTTCATATTTACGATTTTTTAAATGTGTCTCCATACTCTAAGATTATCCACACATTTTCCCTAAGCAATGTAGGACGTCACTTCTCTAAGATGACATCCTCTAGATATAGACTGGCCAAACTTCATATTTGTATATAATTAAGGTAAACTTTACGAAGTATTATTATAAATTATTCTAATAATAATAATATATTAATAGGACTTGAATCCTCTATTATCTGTACTCCATTGAACCTCAAGCAACACTTATTTAATAAGGATCTATTCCCTCCGTCTCAAAATAAATATCCACCATTTTATTTTTGTCTATTCCAATATAAATGTTTCATTTGAAAAATCAAAATATTATTTTTGTAACATTACCAATTTAATGTTATTGTATCGAACTTATAAAAACTAAACCATTACATTTAGATAAATTTGATAATTCATTAACTGCCAATATAATAAAAAAAAATACTAAAACTCATTCTCTTATAAAAAGCTTGCATGGCATAGAATAGAAAATAATTTTCAGAGAATAATAAAAAAACAATTATTTGAAAATAAGCCTTTTTATGACTGAGTTTTCAAAAAATAGTTTTAGAAAATTGAAACAAATCAAAGTTTTTTTTACAGTTTTATATTTTCTGTTCTAAGTTATAAACCAAGCAATGTCTTAGATTTTCGAAGAGAGTAACACTTATGTAACATTTTATATTAATAATGTAACGTAGGTACTTCGATAGCTAAGTTAGTTATCTACTAATTTAACCTCTAACTCTTATTATCTTTGTAAAAAAAAAAATACAAAATTATATATTTATGTAGTTATTGCATTAATATTTTAAAATTAAATTATTGAGTTGTAAATGTAACATTAATCCATTTAAACATCCTTTGTGCGTATCATAGTGGGGATCCATTTAAAAATTAAATTTTAAAAGTAGTGATATTTAAAAGATTTTATTATTATTATTATTATTATTATTTTCTCGAAAAAAAAAAAGGAAAATCTCAATACGAAGCTTAAAGACTAAGAAGGAATTGGGCTTCGGGTTGGGTTCGAATAGCATCGGCTTCTCTCTCTCTGATCGCTTCTCATCGCCGTTGTAAACCCACCCAATCGTGCATATATCGTCACCGGCGTCATCATCTTGCCCTGTCTATTGCTTCACTTTTTATTTTCGAAGGAACATAGATCGATACCTAGTTGTATCATCTATACCGATCCAAATCCTCGTTTCCATCTCTCTCTCCTCTCTCTCCTCTGGTAAGCACCTCTCTCTCGCTCTATTAATATGCGCATCCTTATATATATATATATATATTATATGTTGTTTCCTTAAAACTAGAATGATTTTGTTTAGGGTTCTCAACGCAAGCTGGCTAGACCAATTGATCAGGAAATCAGTATCTAGGGTTTGGAATGCAATACATGCTCTTACTACAATGCTTATATACATATATCACACACATATACATGCGGAGATAGACATAGATATAGATAACCTGTTGGCTCTACCGATTATGTTCATCATACCCATAATTCAAATTTTGTTAAGCTTACCTTTGAACTTAGAATCTAGTTTTGAGGCTTTCTGAGAACTTCTTACAATCTTCAGTGGGATTGTCTTTACTGCAATATGAAGGGAAAAGAAATAAATTTATACCCATTGCTAGTGATGTGATTTTGATGTCTTGCTTTTATTGCAATATGAAGAAATTAAAATAAAATTATACCCATTGATAGTGAGATGATTTTGATGTCTTTGGGCTAGAGATCTTTTTGTCTAGCAGTATCATCATGTTTATGTTTCACTATGGAATTTGGTGGAACACTTCCACTCTCCTCTTAGGCTTCATCAGGTACAATATCATTTAATTGTTTTCAAACCGTCCCTCTCTGCCAATAATTCTTGCTTTATGCCTTGGGATTCATAACATAAAAAGAAGCTTTTCTAAAACTTTTTGGTGTATGATATTGTTATTTATTTTGACGTTTCAAAGCGTGAATTTCTTCACCATTGCAAATGATTCAAAGGATGAAGCTTGAGGCAAATTATTATTTTCTTTTCTTTAGATAATCCTTGTCAATATGACAGCGATGACCAGTAGTCTTTTTTTGTTTTTGTTTTTGTTTTTTGTTAAACAAGTACACAAACACACCCAACTCAACACCTGCACTATGCCTAATGAGAACTTGAACCCTTAATCTCACATATGGGAAGGAAACGAGATACCACTTTAGCCAAATAGTTGGCTAATGATCTTAATGCAACTCAATTCAACAAAACCTTGTTCGAACTATTTAGGTTGGTGACATGAATCATCATTCGTCATGTTTTCTAGGGCCATTGTTTTGTTTTATTTAACTACATGCTACTATGTCTTCTCTTGCTATCTTAACATTTGCCATACATTCTCTTGCATTACTCTTCAAGTGAAACAAGTCACCATTGGTTCATGTACTCGTATTATTGGTAAATGGAAACACCATCATAGTTGATTTTCTCTCACTTTATTTTAAAGTTCTACTTCCACCTTCAGACCTTCTCATGAATGACATTGATTTTTTTTACATTCTCATATTATTGAACATTCATTTCAATGTTCCCTTTTTCTTCACAATCATATATGAATAGTCTAATATCTATTTAGTGAAAATTTCCTTCCAACTCAAAGGGTAATAGTGATGAAACGTTATGTTTGAAGCATTCTTCCACTTAAGTTATCCTCCTTTAATTTAATGAGTAATAACAATTTAAGTCTATCATTCCCCATGAATAATTGAGCCAAAAAAATAAAATTGTTCACTTATTTGTATCTCCTAATCTCAAGCTCTTGTTTTCTCAAATGTGTAGTTTACAATCTATCTCCGGTTCAATTTCATCTGTTAATATAGTATCACCTGTGAGATCAATTAGTGCCCTTACATAACTTAACACACTATATATATGAGCCAAATGTGTGTGTGTGTGTGTGTGTGTATATATATATATATATGCTTTATAAAAAGGGTTAATTTCATTGACACCCCACGAGGTTTGGACAAATTTCACACAGAGACATCTTTTGAAAATTACTATCACTCAAACCCCAAATGACCTTTCCGTCACTTTTACCATTAAAAAAGTGCAAAATGACAATTTTGCCCTCATTTTTTAAATCTATTTTAATTCAAAATATCAACAAACTTAAAAGACAAATTTGCCCTCATTATATATATGTGTATAGAGAGAGAGGACACCAATTAATGGTGAACCAAAAGCTTCAACTGTAGACCCGCATATTATATGACACACATAATATATATATATATATATATATATATATATATATATATATATATAATATAGATCACACAGAATGAATAAAGCTTTAGATCACACACATATTATATATGTAGAAGACTATGATGATTTCGAGGGCCTAGATTTGAAAACTTTCCATCACTGAGTGGAGATTTTATTCACTAATGATTTGCATACAAATCTCTCACTCTCCAACTCCGAATATAACCAGAAGCCTTTAGATACAAACATTGTATGTTAATAAGGAATTGATAGAAGATTAATGGTGTATAAGCCAAAGGTATTATAATAATATATTGTTATTGATTGGTAATTGTGTATATTTACTTTATATTCTTTGTTTTTCAATTTACTTCTTAATACATAAATATTTGCTATAAAAATTCAATTTTGCAATACAAAGAAAAAAAAAAAAACATTAATTCTATTTGTTTCAATTCATTATCTTTGTTGAATCTTCAAAAAAAGAAAAATTGTGAATTCTACATATGGGTGTTCATTCTTTAGACTGTGAGAAAGAGGGATAATATATATATATGTGTGTGTGTGTGTGTGTGTATAAAGAGAGACATGCTAGAGAGAAGAAGAAAAGGCTGAGGAAATGGGTCTAATGGGGGGTAGAAATGTCATTTTATACAGGAAACAAATTTTTTTATAAGTCAACATAAAGTCACAAGGGTAGCAATGTCATTTTAGAAGCAAAAAGTGTTTTGATGTCACTTAAAAGTAACTTTTGGGGTGTGAGTGAAGAACGGATCAAACATTTGTAATGTGAGTGAAGAACGGATCAAACATTTGTAATGTGAGTGATAGTAATTTTCGAAAAGTGTTTTAATGTAATATTTGGCCAAACTTGAGGGGGTGTAAGTGAAATTAACCCTTATAAAAAAAGATATATATATATATATATATATAAAATTTTGTATAGATGAATATAATTACGTACATACATGCATCAAAGTTATATGAAATGAAGTGAAAGTACTCCCAAGTACTTGTCCAAAAAGAACATTCAATTTCTAGTTATATATGTGTGTGTGTGTGTTTTCTCTCATATGGGCACTCAAATTTAACTCTACTGTTTGAGAAAGCTCACCAAAATAGTCTCCACGGGTTGCATAGTATTGAGGTACTAGCATTTAAATTGAATACGGAATGTCATCTTGAATGTTTCTAGTCAGTTTCATAAGGAAAAACACTACATTGTGGTTCTTATATAAGAAATCTTAATCAAGCGGATTAATTCGTTATGGCCCTAATAAATTTAATAATATAATAATAATTAAGAGAACGACTGATGAGTGGCGCAAAAGTATTTTAGTACTTATATATAAAGACAAGGGGAATATACAAAGTTGTGCTAATTATTGTGGTATTAATATAATGAGTCATGCCATTGAATTTAGGGAGAGAGTGATTGAATAATGAATACGATGGGAAATTGAAGTGAAAGAAAATCAGTTAGATAAATGCCGGAAGGTCAAAGATGGCAGTTACTCCCTCTGTCCCAATTTAGATGTCGCTTTTGGGGAGTAGGAATTTTTAAGGGGACATGTGGGACATGCCTTGTCTCTCTGAAAAGTTACTAATTTGCCCGTCTAAGGTTTGAATATTCAAGTTTGAAATTTTAAACTCCAAGGACATATATGGAAAGATGTAAAATATATTATTTGAAAAAGGAAAGTGACAATTATTTTGGGACAAACCAAAAAGGAAAGTATGATATTTTTTTTTTTTGGGACAGAGGGAGTATATACTTATTGATGTGACTAATAGAAAGAGATACGAAGAAGAAAATCTTCATAAGATTTTTATTGATTAGGGAAAGCCTTTGATATGATACCTATAGATCTAATATGGGTTGAAAAGACTTTTATGACCTTGCTTAAGTATGAAATCTCCATTATGCCCTTGGGTATAACTCAACTACCGAAATTTTCCTCGTTCCAGATAAGGTGTTTAGGAGTCTTTGGGGTGGGAGATTCTCAGATTCTTGTATGTTCTCTATGGCCTCAACGAGGATAACGTCCAACTGAAGGGGTTGGCCTGTAGTAGGTTGAGGCGCTCTAGCTGAGCCTTGACGAGCTTGGGGCTTTTTTGGAGCCTAGGCGCACCTTTAACAACTATATATTTTCCTTGGTGTGTTGGAGGGGATTTTAATGTTATCCACTTCCCTAGTGAAAGGTCGACGGGGGGTAGGTGGACTTTGTTTCTGGAGCAGTTTTCTGAGTTCATTGCCAATTTGCAATTGATTGACTTGCGATTGACTTGCGGTTGGAACGGGCGACTTTCACTTGGTCCAGTGGTAGCGAGTCTCCTACTCTCTCTTGTTTGGATAGATTCCTTTTGTCTGGAGATTGGGAGGAGAAATATTCGGATGATGTTCAAGCGGCGTTGGCTAGACCAACTTCGGATCATATTCCTATGGTCCTGGATTGTGGGGGATTACGAAAAAGAAGCAATCCCTTCAGATTTGAGAATATGTGGCTCCGAGAAAAGGGCTTCATTGAGAGGGTCCGCTCTTGGTGGGAGGGATATGATGTGATTGGCACTCCAAGTTTCATTCTTGCCGGAAAATTACGTCGCTTGAAGGACATTAAAAGATGGAATAAGGGGGAGTTTGGGAACAGTGGAGGAAGAATTGAGCGTTCTCGGAGATTGGTGAGAATGATCTCATGGAGGGATCAAGATATCTTGGGGAGGTTTTGAGAAATAAAAGGGTGGTATGCTAGACAGGGATTGTTGAAATTGCTAGGTTAGAAGAGATTTCGTGAAGACAGAAATCTAGAGCCCCGTGGTTAAAGGAGGGGGACCGCAATACGAAGTTCTTCCATAAACTTGCTAATGCACGTCAAAGGGGCAATCATATTGGGAGGATGTGGGTGGAAGGGGAGTTGATGTGTAATGATGAGGAGGTTTGTAGAGGAATTGCCTCTTTTTATCAGAAGTTATTCATTGAGCCTCACAATGGAGACCGTTACTTGGGGGGCTCCTGTTTTATTCGATTTTCGAGGTGGAGAGTGTTGGTTTGGAGAGACATTTTCTAAAGAGGAAGTGTTGAAGGCGCTGTAATGGGGTTTTATCCCTAGGTCCTGACGGGTATTCCATGAGATTCCTTCAACAGAGCTGGGAGGTTGTTAGAGGGGTGGTGAGGGAATTTTTCATGCCTTTCATTCTCAGGGTCGTTTCGAGAAAAGTTTGAATACCATATTCATTACTCTTATCCCCAAAATGGGGGATGTGTCTGACGTTAAGGATTTTAGACCCATTAGCCTGGTGGGATGTATCTATAAATTAATTGTTAAAGTTCTTGCTTTGAGATTGAGAGGGGTTTTGGATGGGTTTTTTCGGATTCCCAAATCGCTTTTATGGGTGGCTTCCAGATTCTTGATTCAGTCCTTATTGCGTGCGAGTGTGTTGATTCTAGATTGTGCAGTGGGGTTCTTGGGGTTTTGTGCAAGTTGGACATTGAGAAGGCTTAAGATCATGTCAGTTGGAGTTTTCTTCTTTATTTGATGGGGCAAATGGGCTTTGGAGAGAAATGGAGGAGATGGATTGAGTTTTGTATCTCAAGTGTTAGATTCTCGATCCTCGTGAATGGAGTTCCGACGGGTTTCTTTGGTAGTTCGAGGGGCTTGAGGTAGGGAGATCCCCTTTCTCCTTTTCTTTTTCTCATTGTTATGGTGGTTCTTAGTAGGCTGATGAAGATGGCGATGGATCTGGGTTTCTTACGAGGCTTTCGGGTGGGGAGAGATGTTCTTTCTCAGCTTGAGATCTCCCATTTGATGTTTGCAGATGACACTTTGGTTTTCTGTGATGCTAACGTGTCTTAGATGAGATTTTTGAGATGTGTTTTGATATGGTTTCAAGTTGTTTCTTGGTTAAAGGTAAATGTGGGAAAGAGTGTTTTGGTTCCGGTTGGAGTGGTTCTTGAGATTGGTACTCTTGCTAACACTTTAGGATGTTGCACTGGTTCTTTTCCCACTTTTTTTTTTTTTTTTTTTGTTCTTCAGTGGTTGAGAGGATTGACAAGTTGCAGCGGAATTTTCTTTGGGGAGGGAAGGGGGAGGAATTCAAATATCATTTGGTCAACTGGGAGCAGGTTTGTAGCCCAATTTGAAAGGGTGGGTTAGGTAGTAGATTTGGGGAGGATTTTGGTGGATGGTGCTCTCTTGAGGTGAGAATCTCAGGTGGTGTTGGGGTTTGGAAATTCATTTGAAAGGGTTGTGATGAATTTTCTAAACAGATCATGTTTCAAGATAGAAATGGTAGTAGGATTCGTTTTTGGGAGGATATTTGGTGTGGTGAGCGTCCTCTTGCTCTCTTCTTTCCTAGACTCTTCAGGATTGCCACGGATAGACACATCTTGGTGCTTGACCACTATCACCTTGATAGTGGGAGAACGTCCTGGGATGTGCGTTTTGTGAGGAACTTTCAGGATTAGGAGAATGAGGAGGCCATTGGTTTTTTGGAGTTGTTTTATCATCAGGACTCAGGAGATTATGGACAGAGTTCCTGATTTTGTGGTGTGGGTTTCATCTTCCCAAGGTCGCTTTGAGGTTCGGCCTTTTCACCAGGTGTCTTACGGAGGTTCCAGGGGATGCATTCCCGTGGAAGGCTATTTAGCATTCTAAGGTTCCTCTCAAAGTGGTCTTCTTTGCTTGGACATTGGTTTTGGGGGAAGATTCTGATCCAGGATGATCTCAAGAGGAGACTGGTTGTGGTCAATTATTGTTGCATGTGTTTGAGAATTGAGGAAACAATTGATCTTCTTTTGCATTGCTCAGTAGTAGCTTGGGACTCTTGGGTTCTGATGTTAACTTTGTTCGAGGTTCAGTGGGTTATGCCTAGGTCTTCCAGAGGTTTGGTTAAGGCTTGGAGAGGTTATATAGTGGGGGGCCACGCTCGCAACTTTTGGAGGGTCACGCCTTTATGCGTCTGGTGGTGCTTATGGCTTGAAAGAAATAGGCGATCTTTTGAAAGAAAGGAGACTCCTATTGGCGCGCCGAAGTTCTCCATTATTAGTCCTCTTTTTTGTTGGGTTCTTGGGAGAAATTGTAAATCCATGGATGAGATTGTTGATTGTTTGGACTCTTTGAGAGTTTAGAGGCCTTTTTAGGTCTTGTGTTTACTGTGGGATGCGTTCCCCTTTTGTACGCTTTTTAATACATCTTTACTTATCTAAAAAAAAAGTCTCCATTTTGTAAAAAATTGGTCAACCAAATCTTGTTAATCTAGCATGCTAACACATTAAAGGACATGTATGATGGAAGCATGACTAAAGTTAGAGTGACTGGCCTTTGGGGGGGGGGGGGGGGGGGGGGGAGTATGATGGAAGTGTGATTATAGTTAACATAATTGTAAGGAAAAAAGAAATTTTCCTAGGCTTACACAAGGCTCAGCATCAAGGCAATATCTTTTTACCTTAGTTATGGATGAACTAACAATACACACACAATCAGGATGAGATTATATGGTGTTTACTTATCAAAAAAGAGATTATATGGTGTATGCTATTTGTTGATGATATTGTTTTAAATAAAATTAGAAAATGATTAAATGTTAAATTGGATTCTTAGAGGAAGGTCTAGAATCTAAGATAAATAGGAATAAGACTAAATATATAGTGTAACTCAGTAAATTTAAAAACACAAATAAAATTGTAGTGAATTTTGAGGATCAAGAGATATAAAAAAGAGGACATTCCACTATTTAAGCTCAATTATTCACAATTAGCAAGAAGTTGGAGATGATGTTAGTCATAGAAGAATGAATTAAGATTGAAAGAGAAGTTCTATAAACAACTAGTAGACTAGCCATTTTTTATGGGACAGAATGTCTCACATCTAAGAACCAACGTATGCATTAAGTTAATGGAGCAAAAATGCAAATGTCGAGAAGGCTTATGATCATGTTTGTTGGAATGTATATGCTGGAGAGGTTGGGTTTTGGTCTTAGATGGACTAGTTGGATTTACCAATTCATCTTGATTGCGTGTTTCTCAGTTTTAGTGAATGTTTCCTCCGTTGGATTTTTTGGTAGCTCTCAACGTTTGCGCCAGGGCGACCCTCTTTTCCTTTTTTTGTTTATCATTATTATGGAGGCTTTTAGCAGATTGATGAGGAGGGCAGAAGAGTTAGGTTTTATTACATTGTTCTCGGTGGGAAATAGTCCTAATTAGCTGGCTATCTCTCATTTGCTTCTTGTGGATGACACAATCGTCTTTTGTGATGCTAGGGTGGATCAATTGAGATTCTTGAGATGTGTGCTGGTATGTTTCCAAATCATTTCAGGGCTGAAGATCAACATTGGGAAAATGAGTTGGTTCTAGGTAGGGCAGTCGAGGGAATTCAGGATTTAGCAAACATTCTTGGGTTTGGTGTTGGCTCTTTCTTGATTTCTTACTTAGGGCTACCCTTGGGAGCTATGTCGAGGAGGACTTCAATTTGGGATCCCGTTGTCGAGCGGTTCGAGAGGAGACTTGCAGGGTGGAAGCAGCAGTATCTTTCGAAAGAGGGGAAGATTACTCTTATGAAGAGTACCCCTTCAAATCTTCCAAACTATTTCATGTCTTTTTTCTCGACGCGAAAGTCTGTTGTTTGAAGAATAGATGAGATCCAGAGAAATTTCTTATGAGGTGGCATTGGTGATGTGTTCAAGTACCACTTGGTTAACTAGGAGAAGGTGTGCTCCCCTCTTTAAAAGTGGGGCTTGGGCATTCGGGGCTTGGATTTGTTTAACCAGGCTTTGTTGGGCAAATGGCTATGGATATTTGGGTGCGAGATGCGTACGGAGGAGGGTCATTGTTTGCCGTTGTGGGGAGGGAGACGGTGGGTGGTTGTCTAGGGTATGGGTATTTGGAAGCTTATCCGGAATGGGTGGGATGTGTTCTCTAAATGTATCCGTTATCCGTTTTAGAGTTCACAGTGAGAGTTGCATTAGTTTTTGGGAGGACCGCTGGTGTGGAGACTTTGTTTTGGCTTGTAGGTTCCCTCGGCTTTTCAGGATTTCTTCAAGTAGACATGCTTTGGTTGCCAACTGTTATTGGCTTGATAACGGAGGTTGACTTGGGATGTGCAGTTTTGTAAAGAGTTTTATTGACTTGCTAAGTTCTTAGCCTTGCTTTACAACTAGGTGGTGGAGGGTGTGGGGATGGATGATTTGGTGTGGGTGGGCACACCGAGAGGGGTGTTTGAGGTTAGGGTTTTCTACTGCAGTCCAACGGAGACCCGAGGTCCTACCCTCCATTGGAAGGCGATTTGGAGGTCGAAGGCTCCCTTGAAGGTGGCGTTCTTTGTTTGGTGTTACTTTCAGTAGCATTCTCACCCTCGACAATTTTAGGAGGAGACGACATATTGTGGTTAACTGGTGTTGTATGTGCAAGAAAACGGAGGAAACAATGAATCACCTTCTTCATTGCCTAGTGGCGAGGGATGTTTGGTCTAGGTTTTTGGTTGCGCTTGGCATGTCTTGGGTGTTCCCAAGATCCACAGTGGATATGATTGAGGCTTAGAGAGGGTGTTCAGTGGAAAGCCAAGCCAGGGATGCTAGGAGGGCCACTCCCCTTTGTTTATGGTGGGGTTTGTGGTGTGAGAGAAATAGGAGATCCTTTGATGGAGAGGAGACTCCTATTTGGTCTCTCAAATACAGTAAACTGCATACTTTATTTTTGGGGGTTAATGGGCATAATTGTAAATCTTCGGGGCATCTTTTGGATTTTGTGGATAGCTTAAAGCTATAGTTGTCTCCTTTTGTAGCACTCCCCACTTGAGCCTTTTATGAAATCTTACTTATTAAATAAAAAAAAAGGCTCACATTCGTGAGTAGTTAAAGTAACACCTATTGGAAATAATTTGAGAGAAAAGCAATTAAGATGGTTTAGACATATACTAAGGAGATCATTAAGTGTATTAATTAGGAGGAGTGACACGATCTACATTGAGGGTAATATTAGGGGAAAGGGAATACTAAACTTACCAAGAGTTATGGATTAATGGTATCTCCTCTCTCTACTAAAGTGGAAGGAAGATTGATAGTTCAAGTCCCAATAGGGGCATAAACCATAAAGTGAGTGGTGGCAAAAATGCAAATGTTGAGATGAATGTGTGGTAAGGCAAGAAATGATAGAGTTGAAAATGAATACATTCTTTTATTTTTTTTATAAGTAAGATTGTATTAATGTGCCCAAAAGGGGGACGCATCCCACAAATGGGGCCTCTAAACCCTCTTAGAGCCCAAAATATCAGCAATTTCTCCCTAGAACCGAACAAAAAAAGGGTGCTAATAATAGAAAACTTATGAGTCCCAATAGGAGTCGATCTCCCATTTCTCTCTAGCCATAAGCACTTCCAGACGCATAAGGGCGCAACCCTCTAATAATCCCGAACTTGGGCCCCCACTGTACGATATACAGCCTCTCCGAGCATCCACCACAGCTCTTGGGGACCTGGGCATGACCCAAGTTAAAAATCCCGAGTTAAAAGTGAATACATTCATGAGATAGTTGAAGTAACAATCATTGGAAATAAATTGGGTGCACATTGATTGAGATGGTTCAGACATGTGCTAAGGATATTATTAAGCGTATTAATTAGGAAGATTGGCATGAACTACATTGAGGGAAATGTCAGGGGAAGGCCAAAATTACCAAGGGTTGTGAATTAACGGTATCTCCTCTACCTCCCAAAGTGGAAGGAAGGTTCAGAGTTCAAGTCCAAATAGGGGACAAAGTGTATATGCATTGTTTTCATATGATAACATTTAGTTTAATTGAGATTATGGCCTTGTATAGAGCAAAATTGAAAAATCAAAGTAGTTGCAAAAAGGTTTTGCTGAGTGTATATGATCACGAGACTTTAAAGGTTTGGCAATGGATTAGTTATTACATTTTCGTGGTTTTTCTTGTAACAATGATGAATAAGTTGAGGCTTTAGACTATGTATGTACTGATGTTGATTTTGATGAATACAATGGAAAGGTGGAATAAGAAAGCTGAGAATTTGTGGCACACATTGGTGGATCTTGATTTAGATTTTGGGGTTAGGTTTTGGTACGGGATAGGCTGTTTCTTAGTTAGGTCTTGGGTGATGTAACCTAACTCTCACACTGATTTGTTCGAATATGAAAGTTAGCAAATTGACTATACTTTTCTTTTCCCTTTTAATATAGAAAAATATAGAAGGTAAAAAGATCAATAAATGATAAAAGAAAAGATAGGAGATTTATGGTGCAACTTGTCTTCCATGCTTCTTGTCTGCGAAGTTTAGAAGAAGAAGAGGGGAGCAGATGGGTGGGGTGTATGGGCCAATTTAAGAGTTGAGGAGAGAGGGAGAGAGAGAGAGAGGCGCCGCGGGGGGGGGGGGGGGGGGTAGTTTTTTAATGAAACTTTATTCATCGGGGAAAAAAGTATCAGATTAGAGACGTGAACACAATTTGGAGACTGCATAAAATAAAGCAGAGGTGACACAGTTTGATAAGTTTCTATGGGCTGATACTATTTGTCAATGAAACCTCTTTAATGGCTTGAAGGAACTGAAAAGTAAATCTTGATTGTGTAAAATCTTGACACAATTTGGAGAAATAGAGACTGCATAAAATAAAGCAGAGGGGAACACAGTTTGATAAGTTTCTAGGGGCTGATACTATTTATCAATAAAACCTACTAGTATTTAATGGCTTGAAGGAACTGGAAAGTAAATCTTGACTGCGTAAAATCTTCCTACGCATTGTAGTGACGCATTAGAATTTGGATGTCTTTCTAAAACCCTGAAGGAGTCGAACATAGAACATAAATATTTAAGTTAAAAAAATTTAATTAATAGCTGCAGGTTTGCTTGCAGATTTGACAACGAATATGCCTCAAAAGTTTGTTATCATGCTAGAATGATGGGCTGGATTTAGACTTGACATATTCTTGATATAAACATTTCGGCCTTGAGTTTTTTGTGTTTGTGTACTACTGAAAATATCTTTTCACCATTTTGGTATTGCTGATGGATATGTGGCCTTTATCCCAAACTGATGTCACCTAGCTCTCATACTATTCTTCAAACATGTGGTGGACCAATAAGTTGTGATTCTTCTTTCTAAATACATGAATAGAAAGAAAATGTTAAGATGGGATAGAGAGAAGAGAGAGATGGTATTTTTATTTAGAACTACTAATATGACTGAAACTATTTCACTAAATTGGTCGCCACATCTTCTGCCGATGCATTCCACAGTGATTATGCCTCAGAATTTTTTTTTTTTTTGGTGGTGTCAACTACAATAAAGTAAATATATGTGAAGGATCTTCATTTAAAACATTGTTGACTAAATTTATATTTATTGGGTGTGGTTTGTCCTCTACTGACTGGATTTTACTTCTTCCTTTTCCCTCCAGTTTGAATGACCTCGCAGCTGAATACAACCAATGGCTTCGAGTATGTTAGCTGGAGAGCGAAGGTATCAAAATGTCCTTTTTTTTTTTTTTTTTTGCTATCTTTGATTTTATCAGTCAAGGTCTTCATAGTCACCTTAACGGGGCCAACTTAGAAACGTGAAAGATATATCATTTGCAGTAAGACAGTATCTGAAAGATGTAGGATCCATGTTTGACTAGCATGACATACATGTGATAAATTTGGAAATTAGGATGGTGGAAATCATACCATATTGCTGAGAGAAAAGGAATATGGTAGCTCAAGAGAACTTTCTTTTTATTGCTGAGGAAATAATCTCTTTTATTAGATTTTGAGGCCATAATATTGTTTAGGGATAAATCTTTAGTTAGTATTCACTTGCAACAATCCAGCACATAGAAGGGGCCCATTTCCTTTTTATTTCTTTTGGTAGTTATTTAAATTATGTTTGACACAATATGCATGGATCAGATAAATGAATATAATCTGGTAAGTTGAGAAAACTTTGTCAAAGCCTATTCATATAAAAGTTGCTAATTTTGTTGTCAAATTGTTTTAAAGCTGATAACAAACTAGATGAACCATTCACTTCCAGAACTGAATGAAATATTTATTCACTTTGGTGAAGTGGATTATTATGTCATTTTTCATTTTTGAAGCACACTTGTTGCTTGGTGCTCATGCCTTTTGTTTTGCATGGCTGATTGTTTTTTTACATGCCATGTATTTATATGAAGTGTTAGTCTAGTGATTGATCTGTGGTAGTTGTTGCCACCTAAGTAGCATAGACACGGGACATGGACACGATACAACACTGATACGATGACATGTTGAATCCTAAAAAGGTAGGACAAGATGTGGCGTGGATATGACTATATATAAATATAAGTTTTTATCCATATACATCTATGGTTGTTAAAATCTTGATCTGGATCGTGGAATCTTACGATCCTATGATCCCAAATTGCTAAATCGATCTTGATCACATGAAAAATCACTGGAAAGTAGGTTTGCAGTAGCATCGGTAGAATCAGATGTAGGATTGTAGAATCTCCTGCTAAATCTTGTTGTTTTGTTTTTCTTCTGAATTTATTTGGGCCTACCGATCTTGGGAAATTATTTCAATCATTTTAAATATAAAGCCCAACTCTTAGGCCTATTTGTATTGAAAAATAAAATAAAACACTAAAATCAAAGACTGAATGTCAAAAGTAGAGACAATCCAGTTCTGAATTTCAATGGTATGGCCTTGAAAAATTGCTCTATTTTGCTTTATCTTCTTAATTTCTTAGTTCTTTCTCTTTTCAGAACAAGAAGCGGAAAGAACTTTATTTTTCTGCCTATTTTTTATCCATTCTGAAACAAAACAAAGAGAGACTTCATTTTTTTTCTGCTGTTCTTTCTCTCTCTATTTTGTTATTTTCTAAACCAAAAAGTAATCAGACAATTAGCCAGCTACATTGTACTTTTCTCTCTGTTTCTCTGTTCCCTTTTTCTATTTGATTAGGCTTTACTTTAATTTCTTTTGTGAGATTCTGCTTGATTGTTTTGCCGATGCTTTTGTAAAGAGGAATTCAAGAAATTGATTTTAAGTATTTGCCATGTGTCTTGGCATCTTTTAATGTTAGTTGATTTTGCTAGAATGTTGTTCAGGTTGATTGTTTAGCCTTATTCTCTGCTTATATCAAAGATATTTGATTTAGAAAGTTAGTTTTCTAATAGTTTTATAGAATCTTATGATCCTCAATCCAATCCTACGACCATGGGCCCCTCATCAATCCTACATAGAATCCCAATCCTGACAACCTTGTCTACATCTATTGAGTAAGATTATTATTGAACTTCAAAATTTTATTTTATTTTTTTATTTTTAATTTTATACTAAGAGACACATAATCTAGAAGATTAAGTTATGCAAATATTGTAATGGTTATCATGTCATATATGTTATTATTCCTTTACTTTGTCATTACAATGATGTTTGTCCTCTATGGAAAAGTAGCACTTTACTTGTAACCATGTGTATAATGTCAGCTTTTCTTAAAGAAAAAAAGTTGAATAACAAAAGATGTTCGGACATGCTACTCTAGATGTGTTTGTATTATATAAAATTTGTGTTAGGATTGTTTCGGAAGTGTCAGTCAAGTATGGAAGTATCTGTTCTTCATAGATTACTACATACTATGTAGTTATTTTGAAGTGCTAGTCTACTAATTGATCAATGACATCTGGCATTACACTAATGTCTTTACCTATATATATATATTTTTTCACTGAATGGTAGTGCGTCACCCTAGTCTTGCGCTCTCCTCTCTAAAGATGAATATTGTTTTCATTGCATTCTTAGACATCAGTTCCTTTTCTTTATTTTTTTTAAAATTAAACTAAATTTTTGATAAGTAAGATATCATAAACGAGCTCAAAAAGGCAGCGAACCCAAAAGGCCAAAAGACTACAACGGACGCCCAACATTAAAGTTTCAAGCTATCCACAAAATCCAAAAGATACCCCATAGATTTACAATTTCACCCATTAACCCAAAAAAACAAATTTGACAGTACATTGTATTTGAGAGACCATATAGGAGATTTCTCTCCCTCAAAAGATCTCCTATTTCTCATGTGCCACAAGCCCCACCATAAACAAAGGGGAGTGACCCTCCAAGCATCTCTGACTCGGCTTTCTACTATACACCCTCTCCAAGTCACTAACATGTCCATCGTGTATTAGGAAAACACCCAAACCATACCAAAGGCACCCAAGAACATAGACTAAATATCTCTCGCTACCGGACAATGAAGGAAAAGATGATTGACAGAATCTCCCGTCTTCTTACACATGCAGCACTAGTTCACCACAATCTGATGTCTCCTTCTAAGATTATCAATAGTGAGAATGATTCCAAGAGCGGCTGTCCGAGCAAAAATAGGCCACCTTCAAGGGGGCCTTCGTCTTCCAAACCGCCTTATCCAAAAGATACCCCATAGATTTACAATTTCACCCATTAACCCAAAAAAACAAATTTGACAGTATATTGTATTTGAGAGACCATATAGGAGATTTCTCTCCCTCAAAAGATCTCCTATTTCTCATGTGCCACAAGCCCCACCATAAACAAAGGGGAGTGACCCTCCAAGCATCTCTGACTCGGCTCTCTACTATACACCCTCTCCAAGTCACTAACATGTCCATCGTGTATTAGGAAAACACCCAAACCATACCAAAGGCACCCAAGAACATAGACTAAATATCTCTCGCTACTGGACAACGAAGGAAAAGATGATTGACAGAATCTCCCGTCTTCTTACACATGCAGCACTAGTTCACCACAATCTGATGTCTCCTTCCAAGATTATCAATAGTGAGAATGATTCCAAGAGTGGCTGTCCGAGCAAAAATAGGCCACCTTCAAGGGGGCCTTCGTCTTCCAAACCGCCTTACAAGGGAAGGAAGAATTTGGGGAATCCATCAGGCTTTAGTAAAAGGACCTAACCTCAAAGACCCTCTCGGGGAACCCACCCAAGTAAGCTCATCCATACCCTCACCCTCCACCACCTGACAATATATCAAAAGCTAAGAACTCCGTGACCTCTGAATGCTCCCAATCATGAAATGCTCTATGAAGCTGCACTTCCCAAGTCAACCTCCCATCATCAGGACGATAACAGTCAGCAACTACAGCATGCTTGTTTGCAGAGATCCTTTTGCATCATAAATTAATATCCCATTTGCGAATTCTACATATTCTAGAAAACACTTCTCATAATTTAAGCTTGTTTATTATTGGACATTTTAAATGGAATTTTATTTATTTTTTGTCATGAGTAATTCCATCATTAACAATGAGTAAAGCTTTTTTATGTTCGTTTAATAAACGAGTTGAGCCTAAACAATGCCGAGCTCAAAGATTAAGGGCCCGTTTGGCAATCGCTTTTGCTTTGACCCGAAGTAGAAGCAGTGTTTTTGCTTTAGAGTGTGTTCAACACTATTTTGAAGCTTGTTTGGTAACGTAAATTTTTTGAAGCAAAAACATGAAAGCATGTTTGGTAAAAAGTATTGCAAGTTTGAAAAATTAAATGGCTAGTTAAAAATATCATTTTAGATTTTTTTTTTTTTTGACCAGTGCTTTTGCTACAGCACGGAAGCAACCAAAGGTATCATTTTTATGCTTTCGATTTTGGCTTCTTTTTTGGAAGCGCTTCAGTATTATTCAAATGACAAGGAAATGTTACTAAACATGCTTCGTGCTTTTGCTTCGCTACAATACACTAGCGAAAGCAAAAAAAAAAAAATGAAGTAAAATCAGTTGCCAAACAGGCCCTAAAGCTTTTTTTAGGTTCATTTAATAAACAAGCCTGAGCCTAAACAATGCCAAGCTCAGCTCGTAGGCTTGTGAACATGCTCTTACAAAATTGTTTTAGTTCACGTTTCTTAAGCCCATTATATGGTATACATATATGGTTAATTGGTCATAGACCCCAAGGTAGGTTAAGCTCAGGCTATGCATTTATAACATGTACATTTAGTCTGAAACCCACTAAATCGTCCGCATTAAGGTCCATATACTTACCCAAAAGGGAAAAAAAGGCTCAAAAGTTTGTCATTTATTACATTACAAGAAGGTCCACAAATTTTGCAACAGACAAGAGAACGCTCCTCCCTTGTTACCTCTCTATGGCCTCCCCCCCACCACCACCACTCTCTCTCATCTCTCTGCAGCTTAGATGTTTTCTACTCTCTTGCGCTCATCTCAAATCAAAATCGTATTTCTCTCAGGCTACGTTTGGCACGTGGGAATGGAATGGAATGGAATGCAGGCGGGAATGTAATGAGACTGGGAAAGGAATGGAATAGTCATTCTCATTCTTTTGTTTGGTTGCAAATATGAAATGATGTAGGAATGGAATGATCATTACCATCGTTTGACCAATTTAAAACCTAGAATGGAATGATTTTTAAATTGACTTCTCCAAAATACAACTTTTAGTGACAAATAAATTGAATTAACAAAATAACATTCTTCTACAATATTTTTTTAAAGAAATGATAGTCGTGGTGGTGGTGCAAGGCGGAGGAGGTAGTGGAGATGAAGTCGGTGGAGGTGGTAGTGGTGGTGGAAGGTGGCAGCTGTGGTGGTGATGACAACGACAGTGATGGTGATGGTGGCGGTGGCAGTGGTTTTTGGACTTGGAATGTGAGGGCTTTTTGTGAACGTGATTATTATTTATTTATTTTAATTCTCCTTGGGAATGGAATGGTAATTCCATAGGTTAAGAAGTGGTATAACCTGGAATGGTTTGTGATATCCCAAGATTTAATTAGGCCTTCTAATCGTGTTAAGTGATTCTTAATCGTGTTTAGTGGCTCCTAAACGTGCTTAGTGACTCTTAATCATGATTATTAGTAACATTGGGTATAAAGTATGATTATTGAAGTTATGGGATTTTATTTGGAGGCATTTGTGTGATTATTTAGTTGGTAGGGGAGAGGTTGCAATTAAACCAAAATCTAACTTGGTGGCAGCCATGTGTCAAAGCCATGAGTCTTTCTAACACCTGGTCTTATAGCCCAACCAAAGAGACACATGCCTTAGCACAACCTTAAACCTGTTGCTGCCTTCCTTTTGTTACAGCACAAACCAAAGGAAAAGAGAGGGAAAAACAAGAGGGAGAGCAATGAAGAAAGGGAAACAAGAAGAAAGTTGTAGGATTCCTTCTTCATAGTATCTTCATCACTCTTCGGTAGGGTTCTTTATTGTTTGAATGGCTTGGAGTGATTTTGCTTCAAATCTCTTTATTGACTGTGAAAATAATTGTTTTGCTTAAATTGCATATATGTATTTTGCTGATATATTCACAGGTATATGTATAGTTTGTGAAGCTTATTGTTCACGAAACCTTCTTGAAATTCTGGTTAAGGTTTTTCTTACTGGCACTTCGTCTCACCCCACCATTTTTCAGGTATAGAGGTCCAAGTGGAGGAGTTTGTGTGCTGATCTTTTTGATATTTGGAGCTTACCTTAACCATGTGTTTTAGGTTGTAAGCTGTTTTGTGAGGTAGTGCATCAGAGTAGCGCAATGGTCAGTTGATGTATGACACTTGTATATTCTATGAGAATCATTTGTGCTGCGTTTGGTGTGCAGTAATGGAATGGAATGGAATGGAATGCCTATTCCAATCATTCCTTTGTTTGGTATGCAATTTAAAGTGGGAATGGTCATTCCATTAGAATGAAAATCCATTCCACAACTAAACCTATTGAATGGCCATTCCATTCCCAAATAATTTTTTTTAAAAAATCAACTTCCCAAAAAACCTTCGTAGTCCAAGTCCAAAAACAATCATTACCTTTCACCACTACCGCCGCCGCCGACTTTCACCATTGCCCACCGCCATTCGCCGCCGCCACCGTCGCCACCACCACCACCGCCATCGCCTTTCACCATTGCTGCCACCACCACCACCGCTACCACCTTCCACTGCCACTACCTACCGCCGTCGCAACCGCCACCGCCTTTCACCACCACCACCGCCACCTCCTTTCATCACCACTACCACTTTCACTACCACCACCACCACCGCCTTCCACCGCCACCGCCTTCACCACCACCACCGCCGCCTTACACCACCACCACCACCACCGCCGCCACAGCCTTCTATCTCCATCGCCATCGCCATCGCCATCGCCATCGCCTTTTATCGCCACTGCCATCACCATTGCCTTCCACCACCACCGCTGCCACCGCCGCCACTGCCTTCCACTACCACCACCATCGCCACCACCATCGCCGTCCACCACCACCATCGCAACCGCCTTTCACCACCACCACCACCACTACCATCGCGACCTCCGCTACCTTCCACCACCATCACCACAGTCGCCTCCATTGGCTTCCACCATTGCCACCTACACTACTATATCCTTCCACCACCACAACACTACTGCCACCGCCTTCCACCAACGCCACCGCTGCCTTACACCACCGTGCCGCCGCCGCCGTCGCTGCCTTCCACCATTGCCACCACTGCCACTTTCCAACACACAACCTACACCGCTACCGTTTTCCACCTCCACCACCGCCACTGCTACCATTTATTTTAAATTTTTTTAGAGAATGTCATTTTGTTAATTTAATTTATTTGTTACTAAGAGGGATATTTTGGAGAATTCAATTGGAAATTTATTCCATTCTAAATTTTAAATTGGTCCAACCAAACATTAGAATGGTTATTATCATTCCATTTTTACACATTTCATATTTACAACCAAACAATAGAATGAGAATGACCATTCCATTCCCACTTGCATTGCATTGCATTCCATTCCTGCACACCAAACGCAGCATTGATGTAATTGAGGATCATTAATGAAATTGATGTATTTTGAATTCGGGTCGTGACATGGTTTTTGTGGGAATGACCATTTCAAGGGCATGACCTTGAATGGTCATTGCAACTTTTCTTTTTCTTAGTAAACAAGTAAAGGGTCTAAAATGGTGAAATGGGCATTCCATTCCATTCCCGCGCACCAAACGCAGCATCGGCTCACATGTTCCCATATCTCTGTCTTCATATTTTCTGTTTGATCTGAATCTTGTGAGATGATGAAATTGAAATTGCGATGGAAGTCAGTGATGGTTGAAGATAGCTTTGACCAATGATGACGATGGCTAGGAGGATTGTTTTTGCACTAGTGAAAGATTAAAGATAGTTTGATTTGTATACTTATACACTCGTGTAATTATATATACATGAACACGTGTTTGTATCTATATCTATATAGATATAAAATTGAAGTTTGAGACATGAACGGTTCCGAGTCGGGCTTGAGCATGGCTGGGCCTAGCTTGTTCAAACTTTGTGACGGATTTTACAATTTGAATCCGAAACCACTGAAAACTCGGATCAGTTTGGCTTGGTCTATTTTCAGCCCTACATATCTTGTGCTCATACCCTTGTTGTGTCGCTTTGACACGGGTACGTGAAGGGAAATAGAAAAGTCTATGTATTTGTGTTTGTTTTCTCATTCTGAGAAATATTCTCTCGAAGTTGGTCTTGGTGTTTAGGATTGCATGGCATTCTGGTTATTTCTAATGCTCAGTTGTTGTATGGTGGGTTTTTGCTTTTATCTTTTCCCTTTTTGTTTATGGTCAACTTCAGTAAATAGCTAGTTGAATGTTCTTTTTGCTCTTTTGATTATTCTTCTTGATGGGTCTTGTCTGGATTGTGTCCTTACATTTATGTAAGTTAGCATGATCGTTGTGGAATCTCCATTGGATTTTGAAACTGTTCTATTGTATAATACATTATCTTGTGTCATTTGGTCATTACTGAAGGTGGGCTTCAGCGAGAAGAGGTGGCATGACTGTTTTGGGGAGAGTTGCTGTTCCAAAACCTCTGAACTTACCCAGCCAAAGGTATCTGATTTTCTGGTGGACTATTATCTGTTTCCTTGAGTTCCTTGGTTTGATCTCTGAAATTCTTTTCAATGTTGTTTCAAGGTTAGAAAATCATGGTCTGGACCAAAGCATGGAAAGCGTTCCCAAGTGAGTGTTTCATTTGCTATAGGTTTTTAGACTCTCTCTCTCCCCATCACAGAAAGGCACACACGAACATGGTTTTTATGATCTTTCTGTTCTCAATGCTATTCTTACTTATTATTTATTTTTTAGGTCAGAAATTCAACCAGTAACATATTTATATGTTTTTCTTTGTATTACGTTGAATTGATTTACATAATTTTTCTTCACTTAATAGGGGAACCCTTAGCTGGGGCAGTCGTTCATCTTCGTCTGCATCAAATGCCTGGTGTTCCTCGGCACTGTCTCCAAATGCTGATGGTAGTGCTGGTTCACCAAGAAATCTCAGTGGTCGCCCTTCATCCAGTGAAGGCAGCACTCGACCATCATCTGCTGGTAGCAATAGAATGCATGAACCTACTCTCAGTGCATGGGGTCCGCACTCAAGGCCTTCATCAGCTTCTGGGGCATTAACATCAAATCAAACATCACTGATGTCATCGCGCCCTCGCAGTGCAGAAACAAGGCCTGGTAGCTCGCAGTTGTCACGTTTTGCTGGACTGTCATCTGATAATTCAGTACCATGTGGTCGACCTGGTACAACTGAAAAATTGGTATGGTGCTGGACTGTCATTTTTTTTATTGGGGTGGTGATTTGGTGGGTGGGTGGGGGGTGGGGTTTAGGTTTTTCCCTTACATTTTTTTTTCTTAGTTGGTACTCACACACACATGCCTCCACTGCCCTTTGTGAAGTAGGGCCTGATACCACTAGGCCACTGCCCGTTGGTTTTTCCCTTTATTTTCATTATTAAAGATATGGTGCAATACAATGTTGGAGTCATATCATATGAAGTGATTAGTAAAATATATTGGCTGGAGCATATCATATGAAAGTGATTAGTAAAATATATTGGCTGGAGTGCTGCCTCTTTCCAATTTTATACCTTGTGTTGTCACAGTAGTTTCTTTTATTGAGGCTGCTGCATTGTGTTTATATCGCCTGATTTGTTTTAGTTAATCTCTATGTTACATGTAGGGAGTGGCATCCACCAAGAAGGATGGGTTCTCTCTAAGTTCTGGAGATTTTCCAACACTTGGTTCAGAAAGAGACAATTCTGGAAGGAATATTGAGCCACAAGGTGATTGACTTTCCTTTCTAATACTTCTATGCCATTTGCCTACAGTTTGATGTTTCTTTCTTGGTGATTGTGAATTGTTCTCCTATTGTCTCTGATTGGTCCGTTAATTTGGTCTACTAGTTGTATTCTTTGCAGTGTCAGGAACTGTGATTCTCTGTTGAATTTGCTCGGGTTCCAATACGTGGCAATGGCCACAGTCGGTCATGGTTGTGGTGATTCAGTAATGTTGAAAAATTATCAAAGATAAAGCACGTTTAAGTGACATCATTGTACTTTCAATATTACATAAGTACCAAATGGAAGTAAAATCAAGGTCAAGAAAGTCAGAAATTGATTCACGGACAATTTTTTTAATCTAGCTTCATACAAGAGGTCTAGATTAGAGTTTGCTAATCTCATTACCCTGACCTAAATCAGTTAAAAAATATCAAGCTAGTTTCAAACTTACTAAATGGAATACCCAAGAATATTGACTAACATTGAAGGATAGATTGTATGTATTTTGTTATGGTAGGTTGGAGTCGCTGAAACTACAATTATGTAGCATTTTTGGAGCACATCAAAGCAAAGAACAAAAATAAAAGAAAAAGAATGAGAAAAAAAAAAAGATGGCTGAAAAAGGGCTTGAAATGTTCATGCACCCTACAGTAATGTTTTACTAACTGTTTTTGGAGATGTTTATGGGGAAAATATGCAATACAATTTGAGTGTTGATTTTTTTTATTTCATGTGTTTTTGATTGGCTTGATCAACAATTGGTGGCAGAGAGTGACTCTTATGGTCGTCCTGGTTCATCATCCAGCAGAATATCATCGGCAGAAGAGAGGAACGCAACTTCATCAGTTGGTTTGTATACATGCAATTAATTCTTCTATTTTTCTTCTTCTGGATATATGCATCCTTTACTGATGGCAATTTCTATTTGCTACAGTGTTTGAAATTTCATAATTGAAAAAAGTATGTGTGATGTCATTTTAGGTGATGCTTCTGCATATGCAAATGCCAAGAGTGGAACTGCTAATACCTGGAAAAGAGATAATTCCCATCATGATGAAGATGGGTTCCGGCCTGGTGTGGAGAAATGGCAGGGGGATCCCCAACCATACCTGAACACTAATGTTCCCCCTCCACACTTTGACGCTTGGCATGGTCCTCCAATAAATGCTCCTGGTGGTGTTTGGTATAGAGGACCTCCAGGAGGTCCACCATACGGACCTCCAGTTGCTCCTGGTGGCTTTCCAATCGAACCATTTCCTTATTACCGTCCTCAAATTCCAGCTACTGCCTTGGCAAACTCGCACCCAATCCCTCCACCAGGGGCCGGACCAAGAGGGCCCCATCCAAAAAACGGAGATTTATACAGACCTCACATCCCTGATGCCTACATTCGGCCAGGTATGCCAATTAGACCTGGTTTTTACCCTGGTCCAGTGGCCTATGAGGGCTATTACGGCCCTGCAATGGGCTACTGCAATTCCAATGAACGAGATATTCCGTTTATGGGAATGCAAGCACGTCCCTCTGTTTATAACAGGTATCCCAACCAAAATGCTCCTGATCCTAACAATCACCATGGCACAGTGGGCACCCATGGATCTACTGGCAGACAAGCTGAATCTGGTCATCCCGATAATACTCGAGGACCAGTTCTTTTGAAGCACCGGAATGAATGGGGAGGAAAAGAGGATGAAGGGGACCAACCAAGGGTGTACTCTTTGAAGAATGAGTGGGGAGCAGGCCACAAAAAGAATGAAAAGATTCACTCAGGAAGATCAACACTGAGTGAAGATGTTCCTTCCCGAACTTCTAATAATCGAGCTGGTTATTCTTCAGACTCTGTCAAAGTAAAGTTACCTGAACATATGGGCAATGGAAAAGCAGTTGAAGACATTTTGGTAAAGAAATCAGGAAATGTTGCATCGGCTTTGCCAGATGTGCCTCAAATAATCCCAGCTACTCCAAAAGATTCAACTTTAATGCAAAAAATTGAGGATCTGAATGCAAAAGCTAGGGCTTCTGATGGACGACATGATGTTACATCTAGTTCTAGTAGCGAAGAGCAAAATAGTAGGTTACAAGTCAGTAATGCTAAGGCCAACATTTCTGCAAATGCAGTTGGTACTGGCGCCGTATACACTAAAAGAACTCATGCCAGTGGAGATCTTATCCTGGTATCCCAAGAAGTGGATGTTTCTGCAAGGGACAAGACCCTTCAGGCAGGAGTTGCCAGTGGGACATCCCTTTCAAGGTTTGTGATTAGCATGGTTCTGTTGACATCAAATATGTTATTTCCCATGTTGGGTAAAAGACTCATTTGCAAATTTACAGGAGAGCTAGTCATGGTATGCAAGGCAGAACTGACCATCACAGTAAAAGGTTCAACACTAAGGATGCTGATGGGTGGCAAAAGAAATCTCTTGTTTCTGGGTCTTTAAATGCTGTTTCATCTGCAAATATTGGACCTACTTTTAATGTTCATGTAGAACACCATACATTTGTGGAGGCTGATGAGAAGTCTGGGATTAATCTTCAAAGCAAGGATGAGGAAGAATCTTTGACACTAATGTATGATCCAAGTGATTGCGATGCACAGGTAATATATATATATATATATATATATATATATATATATATATATATATATTTATTTATTTATTTATTTATTTATTTATTTATTTTATGCCTCTATATTATATTTTATGAATTTTGGTATGCTATTTTCTTTATGTATGTATTTTGATCAGCGTGCTAAGATGAGAGAGATAGCCAAGCAGCGTGCAAAGTTACTTCAGAAGGAGGAGGAAGAACGAACAAGAGAGCAGAAGGCAAAGGCCCTTGCAAAATTGGAAGAGTTGAACAGGCGTATTCAGGTGGCAGATGGTTCGACTCAGAAGTTTGAAAAGGTTCTGCCTGGTGCTGCTATCCCACAAGGGCAAGAAGTATCCCAAACACTTGCTGAACCAGTGATGGTTTCTAGCAAATATGAAAAACCAAGCTCCTCGTTGGTATTTAACCCTAACGCCGTTGCTCAGATTAGTAAGGGTAATACCATTGTGGTGGAACTACCAGATACTGCCCAACATGATCCCGTTGTTCCATGTGGCCAGCCTTTGGCCTTGCAACATGATGCTCAGAATGCTGTTGCTGCTAAATGTAAAGCTGCTTCCCAAGTTAATGATGGTGGTGTCTCCAGGCAAAAGCGCCTGGGCTTTAAACAAAAGCTGAATTTTCATTCGGAAATGAAAGTTACTGAAGAGCCCATTCCCACTATTTCAGCTGAGGCACCAAAAATTAATTCCGATGTAGCTGTTGATGATAATACATCTACTGAGGTTGTTTCTGAAGTTGGCCCAAGTTGCGAGCCTTGCTCCCCCATTAACCCAAATATAATGACTGAGACCACGACACATCAAAGGAGGAAAAACAACAGGAGCAGCAAGAACAAGCACAAACTGGAGACTTCTGTCACTACTTTACCATCTTCAGCGCCAAAAGATGCTAATCCTGCAAAAATTTCAATTGGAGGTGGAGAGTCAAAGGCATCTGAGTTTGAGTTGGATCCTAAATCAGTTCAGTCACTGACTGATGCTAAACATGCAATTCAACCGTCGGAGCAGCACTCTGTTTTACCTAGTGAAGAGGCCACTGGTAGAGTAAATAACCATCGGAAATCTCAGCAGTCTCGCCGGATGCCAAGAAACCCTCAAGCTATCAGATCAGCGAAATTCCATAGCAGTGATGCTGTCGTCTGGGCTCCTGTGCTGTCACAGAACAAATCTGAGGTTACAGATGAAGCCAGTCAAAAGAATTCACACGATGCTGTTGCTCCAGCAGCAAAGAGTGAGTATCTAGTGCAGAATAATCTGAAAAGTAAGAGGGCAGAAATGGAGAGATATGTTCCAAAGCCGGTTGCTAAAGAATTGGCTCAGCAGGGAAGTGTCCAGCAACCACTCTCATCTTCAATCAATCAGACTACATCAGATGAGACTGTTGGGAGAGCAGAACCTGGTTTTCAGAGCATTGAAAGTTCTCAATCTGCTAATTCAGCAATTGGGAATATTTTGTCTACTGAGTGTAAGAATGGGAATAGTAAGCAAAATAAGCAGTCAAAAGCACATGGATCGTGGCGCTTAAGGGTTTCATCTGAATCACCACATGTGAAGGAATTGCAAGATGGATCGTCTTTTACTTCGGACCCTGGCAAGAATGTTCAGAAATCTATAGACCAGCATCAATCTTTCATTCCTGACGTAAACTCAGTGGAAGGACAGCCAAAGTTTTCTGATGAGTCTGAAGGTTGTAATACTAAAGATAAGGGAGTAATTGACAGAGGAAACAGACATCTATTCAAGGGTCATAGGAGCAGCAATAGTTATTATGATCATGATCGCAGAAATATTAATAGTGAGGACACGCATAAAAGTTGCCAACAATATGCGGCCCCAGAAATAAGCCAAGCAGACAGAACTGGTTCTACAGGAGAAAACCGCGGTGTTGGGGAACGAACAGCTTCTCATTGGCAACCGAAATCACAGGCATATTCAGCTCATTATCAACGAGGAAGCAGGTTTGTTGGAGACGGTCAAAATGTTAATGCTGAAGTTGGTAGGGCTATCAAGAAGGATTTCCCCTCCCAGGATAGGGTGCATCTTCCACCACATGACAAAGAGAGCAGTGAAATAACGGCTCAGCCTCACCTCAATCAATCTCTTTCTGAGGAAAAGAGTGTGGTAGAGGCACAAAATGTAGGGCATCCAGAGGCTAGGAGAGAAAAGAAAGTGGCTTCATTTAAAGGACGTTCCCACTCCCCGAATCAAGATCATGCTAACACGGTTGAACTGGCTCCTCCTGCAGATATGGATACTCAGCATGAGCAGCGGTCTTCCTCAGGGTTTCACAAGAATGGAAACCCAAATAACCGTACTAGCAGAGGGCATGAATCTCGTGGGGAATGGAGCTCAGCTGGGCAAGAGAGCAAACAGCATAATATACCTGCAAACCGAGAGAGGCAGAGGCAGAATTCACATTATGAGTACCAGCCCGTTGGGCCATACAATAATAGCAAGTCTAAAAATTTTGAAGGGCAAGATGGCTCGCACAATTCAAGCTCGAGATACAGGGATAGGGGTCAGGGTCACTCGACGCGTGGTGGGGGCAACTTTTATGGGCGGCAAAGTAGCAATGTCAGAGCAAACACCGGTTATGATTGATGGGGAGGATACCATTCCTCTGAACACTGGGTTTTGGTGCAATTAGCCAAGATTTCAGGTATTAATTGTTTTGTCGGTACTGTTTAAATTGGCAGAAATCACGTGCAAGAGCAGAACCAAGGGGCAAAGCACATTGCGCCGAGGCAAAATGTTGTTCATGTTCATGTGAGGTACTCAGATGTTGATTTGTTTCTTATTTTAAAATGTAACTGATATTAGTATCTTATTTTGGTCATGGCTTGTTAGCTGTGGAACCTTTGGCATTTTCTGGCCTTGTATTTAGTGATCATTATTTATATGCACGAGATATGGAATAGTAGTGGGGAGGATGAATTAGGGCAAGTAGTTCTTGGTTCTTTTTGTGAATAAACTTGACTCGCTATTCTTCATCATCATCTTCTTGTGTTTTTTTTTTTTTTCTTTTTTTGTAAAATAAGTTCAAGTACCTTCTTCCTCTTCTTCATTTACTGCATTTTAGAAGGAAAATAAATTTAAGGTTCTAATTATTTTGAGAGGTCTGTAAATCTATTTGTTATGGTCCTATTGAATGCATAAAGTTGCATAGAAAGTATAAGAATCACATTAGCACTTTAGAGAGTTTGATATGAAAGTTAATAATTACTTATTGGGCTATCTCGTGCTGGAGTCATTGTTATGCCTGCACATTGTGACCATTTACAGATATATAAGGTTATCTTTAAAATCCCCATCGTTCTCTAATATAGACTTGGGAATAGGCTATGACTTCAACTCGTTAACACACACGCCGTCGGTATTATTGATAAAAAAAAAAATAGATCTTATAATGAATTTTCGCTATATAAAAAATGTGCAAGAAACACCTAAATCTTTATATTTTTCAAATTTGGAGCAAATCGCCCCTAATCCTCAATTTTGACCAAATAATTTTTAAAAATTCCAAAATGCCCCTATGACGTAAGCAAGGAAAAAAAAAACCTCTCTCGTTTCTCTCCCCCCTCTCAAAAAACAAGTGGGTAAATCCATTTTCGCGTAGTTTATATATATATGTCATACTTTTCTATTAGACTTGTATTCATAATTTATTTCATCTCCAAACTCCACATAATCTTATAGATTTTTATGTTTGGGTCACCGGGACGGTTGTCACTATACTTTCATTGTCTCCAGCGATAATAGAAATCTTTACAGAAATCATCTTTCCTTTTACTTCACTAACCAAACCATCACCAGGACCCAATCCAAAACCCAGTTGAGATCATCTTTCCTTGACTTTATTTTTAGAAAAAAAAAAATTCACTCAGTTGCAATAGTTTTTCTTGAAGGCATCTAAGCTCAAACAATTTCACTGGGGAGATGCAGACCTGACCACCTTGAAGGATTTGTAAATGTCCAAAGTATTTCGTTTTTGTTTTTTACAAATACTTATTTATTTCCTAGTTTTAAAATCAATTGTTTAAATTATTCTTTTACACATTGCAATAGGATTAGTGACAACAGCTTCATAGGAAAGATGCTCAATTTCATCCAAAACTGAACAAATCTAAAAAACTTGAGACTTTTACCTGTTTTAGTATTTCAATTTTTAATTTCTTTGGAAGTTGTTCTCTGGATGGGCCAATTCCTTCTGGAATTTTTCTCTTGGAAAAACTATCTGTAGATAAAGAAATGGAAGACTGGTGGGAAATAGAAGTGAAAGAGGGAGAATTGTATATATATATATATAGTTATATTATCTATTTTTATGTATTTATTATATCACAAGGGTACTTTAGTAATTGTCTGACCCAATCCAAAACCCAGTTGAGATCATCTTTCCCTTGACTTCATTTTTAGCAGAAATTTTTTTTCACCGACAAACCCATGAGCAATAACTCAGTTGCGATAGTTTTTCTTGAAGGCATCTAAGCTCAAACAATTTCCCTGGGGAGCTGCAGACCTGGCCACCTTGAAGGACTGTAAATGTCCAAAGTATTTAGTTTTTGTTTTTTCCAAATACTTATTTATTTCCTAGTTTTAAAATCAATTGTTTAAATTATTCTTTTACACATTGCAATAGGATTAGTGACAACAGCTTCATAGGAAAGATGCTCAATTTCATCCGAAACTGAACAAATCTCCAAAAATTGAGACTTCCACCGGTTTTAGTATTTCAATTTTTAATTTCTTTGGAAGTTGTTCTCTGGATGGGTCAATTCCTTCTAGAATTTTTTTCTTGGAAAAACTATCTGTAGATAAAGAAATGGAAGAGGGGTGGGAAATAGGAGTGAAAGGGAGAGAATTGTACATTTGTTATATATATATATATATATATATATATATATATATATATATATATATTATATCTATGTTTGTGTGGGATCCACAATGGTTTAAGTCATTCATGATGACACCCTTGGCTTGAAGAGGAAGATCACAACTAAGGCTTATAGTGGAAGTTTCGTAGGGCTTACAATGGAAGCTTCATTTTGAACCTTATTAAGGAAGCCTCATTTTGAGCCTATAAATAGGCATATATTTATTGATTTGAAAACCATTACAGAAAGCATATAAATGAATTTCTCTTGATTTCCTTTCTCTTGTTTTCTTTGTCTCTCTTAATCCTACTATATATATTTACATATATTTATTATACGTTATCAGCACGAGCTCTATCCATATCAAATTTGAAGAAGAAGCTCTCTCTCCCTCTTTCTATCTCCACTATATATCTCTTTTGTAATATTAGTTTTGATAGATTTTTGGGTTTGTTTGCTTTATCGAAGAAAATTGTATTTCTGACTTCAAAGGTTAAGAAAATTTTAATTATTGATTATTGTTCATCAAATAAATTTGTTCACTTAAATAATATGTGTGCTCACACTATGGTCGGTTCTACCACTTTTATTATTTAATGATCTACTAATTATGGTCAGTTTTACCACCTTTATTATATAATGATTTATGACCAGTTTTACCGCCTTTATTATTTAATGATTTATGGCTGATTTTATTACCTTTATTGTTTAATAATTTATTCACTATGGCTGATTTTACCGCCTTTGTTGTTTAATTATACTAATACTTCATATTATGTTATATAAAGCAAAGGCCATGATTTTCCTTCGTTATCATATTAGTGAGGAACTAAAAACTGAATACCTCACTGAAAGAGATCCACTGAGTTTGTGAAAAAATTTGAAAGAAAGATATGATCATCAGCTTTCCTTCCAAAAGCTCGGGTTGATTAGCAGCAACTGCGGTTGCAAGATTTTAAAACTGTGGCTGAATACAACTTTACCCTATTTAAAATCAGCTCTACACTGAAATTGTGTGGTGATAACATCACTGATGAATTTTTGTTAGAAAAAACATTCACGCCTCGAATGTACTCTTACAATAACAATATCGAGAGCGTAGATTTGAAAAATATTCAGAGCTGATATCATGTTTGCTTGTGGCAGAGCAAAATAACGAGCTTTTGTTAAGAAACCACCAGTCCCGTCCAACTGGATCGACACCGATCCCTGAAACATATGTTGCCTCATCACGTGGACGTGGACATGATAATAGACATAATTGTGGTGGTAGAAATTGCTACAATAATGAATATGGTTGTGGTAAAAATCACTCTTATTACCGTGAAGGATATTAATCCTTAAATTTTCGAAATCAGAGATCCACACCATATCCCTAAAGGATATCGAGATTATAATGAAATGAAACAAGTAACAAGGAAGGATGTGGCTCAACCTTCCATGGCATATAATAATACTTGTTATCGAATGACAGGGCATTGACAAAGCATTTGTCGCACACCTAAGCATCTGGCTGAACTTTACCAAGCCTCAATTAAAGAAAAGGGAAAACAAAAAGAAATGAATTTCATTGATCATGATGAGCCAGTTGACATCACAAATCTAGATGTATCAGATTTTTTTTTGAGGACCATGATGGAAAGATAAAACCAGCTGATTGGTGATGGAAATGTCCACATCATTTAATCCTATTTTTTATTTCATATTCTTTCTACTATGTTATCTTTAACATATTTTTATTTTCCTTGTATTAAAGTTTCTTTTGTTATAATTGTTTTTCTAAATTTGCATGAATAGGAATGGATCTAACTGGTTTCATAATAAATGGTGAAGATATATGTCTTGCTGATAGTGGAACGACACATACAATCTTTCGAGATCAAAAATATTTTTCTTACCTAATTTTGACAGATGCTAGTGTCAGTACAATATCAGGTCCCACCGACTTGATTGAAGGCTCTGGACGAACCAACATTATTTTACCACGTGGAACAAGATTACAAATCAATGATGCATTATATTCTACAAGATCTTGGAGAAATCTGTTGAGTTTTAAAGACTTGCGTCGTATTGGGTATCATATTGAGACCGCAAATGAAAGAAATGTAGAATATATCTACATTACTTCCATTACCTCATGCAAGATGCTATTCGTGCAGTCGTGGATCAAGGTATGCAATGAGCGGAAGTCATGATAAAGGGTCCCGGTCTCGGAAGAGATGCAGCATTATGAGCTATTCGTAAAAGTGGTGCTGATATTAGAAAAACTTTATGTTTTCTCTTCTGGGTTATACTATACAACCATTAGGACAATTGAGTTAAATGCTGTGATATATAAAAAATCTTGTGACCAAAAAATTTTTTGTAACGACCCGAATCCTCATGGATCCGGATCATTAAACGGGTCCTTACCCGACCCAAAATCATCCGAGGGTAAAATGGTCTTTTCACATTAAATTTAAATATCAAAGCCCGAAAAGGGCAAAATGGTAATTTATCACAATTCAATAAATTGAGACTCAAGGGTACAACGGTCATTAACTTGTATCACATAGTAAATAAAATAAGGTTCGGGGCAATATAGTCCTTTCGGGGGTTAAAATATAATTATGGCATTTTATTGGGTCATAAAATAATTACGTGCAACTTCAAATGGATGCCAAAGTGTAATTTGAAGGAGTCATACGTCGACTGGTTTGGGTCATTCACGTTCAAAATGCATACTGTCAGGATACCGGTCGACGTATGGGATGCTACACGTCGACTGGTTTGGGTTATCCAGACTCGGTTGCCACTGTCCAAAGAAAAACCAATGCTCAACCACCCACGCCATTACATTTACGTACATCAATTAAGATATACTTCAACATCAAATTGTAATAATAACCACCACGTTGATAACGTAATTTACAATACGTTACTTAGAATACACAAACTGATTTTGAGTGAGTAAAACTTAATCACATTATCCAATGTCCATTTACATGATTAGTCCACATATTTTACATGTTGCCAAAAAAAATACAACACACTTCGTGTCATGTACTTTACAAGGTAGTTTCAAGTTCTACAAAATACATTCAAAAATGCTTTCACATTCCCTTAGCCCTGTGGTG